CAAGCCACTGAGGCTCCAATCTCGCACTGGTTAATGAGCCCCCCCCCCCCTCTTCCTCCCCCTTCCTTCTCCTCCTCCTCCTCCTCCTCTTCTTCCACACTCCCCCAGCGCCGGCATCCCTCCAGCGGCGGGCTTATACGACACGTCCTCCCCCTCTTCTCTGTCTTTTAAAAAAAAAAAACGCTCCCCACCTCAGTGTACTCACACTGCTGCCTCTCTCTTTCAGCTAATGAATTGCTAATAAAGTTTATTCTATCATTCGCCTGTAGTTTAGCATTTTAGTCTCCCCTCCTCTCCACATTCCCTTGTCCTCGCGCTCTCCATCAGCAGCAGTCCCCTTTCAGGCACAGATCCAAACCACGGCTGGCGTCTGTCTCGCTGTGTCCGATCCCACCCCCCCCGTCCCCCTCCTCCTCCTCCTCCTCCTCCTCTTCCTCTAACCACCACCACCATCACCGCACTGATGATACATACTCTCTCTCACTCTCTTGCTGCAGACCTGCCTTTAATCATCGCACGCACTCCAGCCGCACACTTGTGCAAGTGCAAGTGCACGCGCACACACGCAAAACCTTCACACACAGGTGGGCAACATGCAAGCTGCTACATTTATGCACGCGTGGTTATAAACACACGTTGGTATTGTTTTGCTGAAGCATACATGAATAATTTAGCATTTCGCCTTTTGGTTCTGTTTTGCTGTAATGAATCAGGGAAAAATGCCACAATAATTTACATGAGTGCAGTAAATCAGTGGTACAAAGGGACCACTTTTGATTCTGTTCCAGATGGTAACTGGGTTTTTGGTCATTAAAACTGAAAAATGACTTTACCAAACTGTTTGAAAAGTAGGAAAATCTATTTAAGAGTATTATAAGATATACAGTGGTTTAAACATAAAGAGATCAAGCATCGAATATGAAATGTAAGAGAATGGATTTGAGGATGCGAAATATTATAATTCAGTTGAAAACGTAATTTAATTTCTATAGTGAGAACTTACCTTGTCCAGGTTCAAATACATTCATGTAGTGTGTCCTCCGTTTGTGTATATTCCAGATGTTTATGCAAGACCTTGAAACATAATACGTCCAGTATGAGAAAGAATATTGAAAACAATTTTCAGATAATTGCATAAAAAATAATACAACCACTCTGAAATGTTTAAAATTTGTGTCAGAATTGTTCTCACAATGAAATAAATGTTATTTATTTGCAGCAGTAAATGTTAAACTTCTGTTATAAACGCTACATACTTACCATACTTCTACACAATGCACAATACGGAGGCCAAGTTATTACTTTCAAATTGTATTTATGGTCCATTCTGTCATCTGCACTTTAGTGATTGCTTGTTGCCATCTTTCTTCCATAAAGTGCTACCAGTACGAAACACTGCGCACGTGTCATCACCTTTGCACTCAACCTCACACCATTTCTGGCCCATCTCCCGTCTTTGTTTTGTGTGGTTGTCTGGGTGAGGCACAGGGAGGAAGACCAGCCATTAGACCACTACATATGCTTCCAATTTCCATCTTTGCAGACCTCCTCTCTCCTCTCTTAGCTTCCTCGTGCTCTCCCATCTCTCCTCTCCTCTCTGTGTGTATTTCTCTCTCCATGTCCACCAAATTGCCCGTTAGATTATCTATTTCTCCATCTGTCGACCTGCCTGTTTGGGTAGAGGCCGTCCGTGCAACATTTTATTTGCGAATTTCTGTGCACATTTCATGCTACGTGGCCGCTAGAAGCCAAACTTCCAACGCATGCAAACACGTGCGGCGCAGAAACAATTCATTATGGTCATACAACGTTCTTATTCAATTGCAATGACAGTAAAAAGTTTGGTTATGTTAAAGGAGCAAAATGGAACAAATGTTTCTGTAGGTAATTTGAACGGAAGACATTTTACATCTTTGGACAACAAAGCTCCTTCTCTGTCTGTTTGAGGGTAAAGTGTTCATCTTGTTAAACTTGTTAAAACATGGTTCATAACGGTCGACATGGCATGTGGTTGTACTCATATGTGTTCTAATTATAATCTCATTGCTTTTTGTCCTCGGTTGACAGATTAGCCGCCCACATTTCCAGTCCCAGACAGTGACAAAAAGAAGTGGAACGATGCGCCAAACGCTTAGCTAAACATTGTTGTTGTATTCTGTTATAGAAAAAGAGGAACCCTCAAAACCAAAGGGCCCCCCCCCCCGGAGAAAGTTATTAGTATCCTGCCAACAGTAAATAGGCGGTGTGTGTGTACGTGGTGTCCCTGCTCCTTCTCTTTGTTTTGTCTGGCAGTCATCCTTCCATCAGCACCACTGGCTGGCAGTGTGTCCCCTGGAGCACGGGGATAAATCTGCAGACAGAACCCGGAGAAAGAAACGCAGCTCAAATATAGAGTTTGGAAGAATGAGCTGTAGTCAGTACCAATATTTGTTTGAATGTACTGTGTGTACTTGCGAGGGAAATAAACCAAGGGAGCATTCAGACCAAGTCACGCTCGAAAAAACCACGGCGGACGTGAGACAGACGCTTTGTCGGCACGTGCCAATGAAAATAATTTCCTAGCAAGATGAATGAACAAAAGGTGCAACTCTGTGTCTCTACCAACAATATCAACCGATGCCACACACGGCGAAGGGATCTCCTTGACAGTCATGGCGAGGTCCTCCCGATGACAGGGTTTTCTGCCTGACTAGTGACTGTACTACAATGTAATTAGAGAGCGTCGCCAGTACAGGTCACAGTTTAGTCTGTAATGGCCTTAGAAGAGTGGACGTGAGTGCACAAAGAAGGAAGATGTAATAGAAGTTAATTCATCATGTAGTGCAGAATATTGTGGAGGTGGAATTCACTTTCTTTAGCCTAAGCTGCACATGTTGATATTTTTTCAATGGAGCAAATTAATTCATCTAATGTAAAAGGTGTCAAATTACCACCTGGGTCCCCAGTAGGTCTCCGCGCTCGTCCACTTTATTTACCGCAGCAGCAGGCAGCTGTTTTTTTTTAGCTAAATCTGTGAGGTAATTTGTAGCTATAACAGCCAAAAAAGTGGTGTAAAAAGTACAATTTAAAGTATACAACTTGGAGGAGAAGAAATATAAAGCAGGAAAGGAAAATTCATGAGACACACTAAACTCAAAATTGTTTTAAAGCACAGTATAACATATTTCATTTCTGACCGGAAAAAAGGGATAATTGACATCTGACTATGATATATTAATGTTCAAACCAAACGACAAGAGAACATACACTTCAGCGGCAAAGATTTGGGGATTTTAAGATTCCCTGTCATAAGCAATACACAGACATGTGCACAAGAAACAGAGTGGAGCTTTGAGGGGTTTATTTCCGTTAAAGTGAATCAAAACGCATCATGCTCCAACTGTCCAACTCGGTTAAAAACGTCGCGACGCCTTGGAAGCCATGAGGCTGAGGAAGTTTACTCTGCATGGGAGCCATCCCTCATTGCTGGTGTGGGCTCCTGCTGAAGTCTGCATATCCCGCTCGCCGCCTTGTTAACCCAGAATACCCTAATGACTTCCCCTCTCGCTGCCGAGCCACACTGTGAAGTCATCCATGTTTCCATGTAGCCTGAAGTGAGAAAAGGAGTGAGCGGGAGAGGAAAGGAAACTAGACGGGATGGAGGATAACTGGCACCACTAATGAGGTGCCTTGTGATGGCATAAATCCTCTTTAGAGCAAGCAGCATCTGAGTGGTTGTCCCCCAATACATTATTGCTAGTCATAACCACACATAGAAGCATGTCCTGCCCCACTTAATGTTTCTCTTTTATTTTTCTAGTCTATGCTTTAATAATTCTCTGGACCACCCTAAATCTTGGGAAAATGGTTAAGTCACTGATTAGACTAATTTATTGCCTTTTCCTTTGAGGGTAATACAAAAAGGAGACAGAGAAGGCGCAGTGTTGCCTTTGCAGGCCACAGAAATGTTAGTTGTTTTTTATCGCTGCTTTACATCACTGTCAGCTGGTGAACATTGTTGCTGAAGAAACCTCCCATGCCGCTCCGACGATTCAGGGTTCAGGAACAAATAATGGAATTTTGAAATCATGCAAAACAAATGTTGCATTGCATTTAGTTTCGGCAACCGCATATGTGAGGATTTCAATGGTAACACTGGAAGACAACCAATGTGTTGCTACTTCTTTGTCTTTTCATCTCTATTAATTGATATGCAGTGTGTGTCTCTGATGCTGAAGGTTTGAACTCGGGGCGATTCTTTGCCGCCACCTTGTGGCTGAATAAAGCTGTTTCTAACTAAAGTATTCGTTCAAAACATGCATGCCACAAAGTAATGGTTATTACGGCCAGACGTCACACGGAGTAAAGTTATTTTATTTTATTTAAATGAAAAATAATATTGCTAAATAAACTAGATCTAAAAATAAGATTTTGCGGATTCAACACCCATTCAAGACCCGTAACTACGCTCAAAATCCTTCTTAAAGAACTTTTTACACTGTAACTATAATATGACATTTTGATGATTAATTTCATGGCATACAATAATATAACATTTTTGTTACAATTGAACTACATTTTAATGGCATACTTTGCTATGATGGTTAAATGCCATGTATCATACTATATAACATATTTATAGTAGTAAGTGCATAGTTACTCTTTCATGGCATATGTGTTTTATATATTTATATATGTGTACACTAATGTCAATAAAATGCTTTATGCATTTTAAATCTGTATATTTATGGCACCTTTTATGCCATACTATTACTATTGCATTAATCATAACGCCGTTGTGTTTATACAGTGCTGTTGCTGTGGCGACCCCTTGCGGCCTGACGTCGCATGTTCAGCCTCTGCGCAACACTTCATTGGTCGAAAAAGTCACCGTCGTTGCTTTACCACCGGTCTGACCTCTTTTGTGTGCCTACTCTGCATGCAAGCTCCTCCTCCCTCCTCCTCCTCCACCACACGCACCGCACGCACGCACGCGCGCGCGCACACACACACACACACACACACACACACACACACTAACCCACCCCCTGTGATGACAAACCCTCCATTGCTCGGCGGCATGTCTGTCTGGGCGATGTGATCTAAAACCGATCCCGTGCCGACGATGCGTTGACGGAGATGCGAAAGGTGAACAAATAAGGTAATCGAACACGCGGCGTTGCGCGTTTGCACCCGGTGACGTGATGAATATCGATCCTCCGCCTTGCACTTAGCCGATGGCGCTAAACTCCCAACTCTTTTATCGTTGCACAATAAACGGGTGTCGACATGTCTTCCGTCGCGAACACTAATCCTTTTTCGTTTTTTCCTTCCCTTCTCTTTGGAAGACGGTTTGTCCTCCGCGGCGGGATGAAGAATGAGCGACGATAAACGCGCGGAGAGGAATCCGAGTCAACATAATCCCTGCGAGCAGCGGGGGGAGGCGGGACGGGGACGATGAGGACCGCTATGGCTTCGATGAAAACATTATTCCCGTGTCTGCTCTGGGGTGAGTGAGCGCGCGCTCTACCTGTGCGACTCTCCACCTGTGTGTCACACGCACGCGGATTGTTCGTTCACGCGGACCAAAACACCCGAGTTTGTGTCGCACGGTCTGACCAGCAGCAGACGGACACGCGCCAGGCGTTTTGAAGGATGTGGAGTGTCGTTGGTTCGGGGGAAACAGGTGTTTTAATGTACACACCAAGAGGCCTCCCCCATGCTATTCCCAAAATACTACATTATTATTATTATTGTGGGCAAAAGAAAGGTGCTTTTGAAGGTTTTGTTGGTTTGACTAGTTATTGTTTGCTTTCATCACCTGTTTAATCTCCTTGTTGTTTTACTGTTACTTCCACCTTTGCACACAGCGGACACAATCAAACGTGTAAAGTACTTAAAAGTTTATATGAGAGTAAGAAGAACCTGGAACGTATTCAATTGGATCAACCCAGCAGTGATCCTATCATTTCATCTAATAACCAAGTAGACGGATTGACAGATCTGATTCTGATTCTGACAGGGTTCCATTTTTTTTCAGTCCTGGGGTCCAACATGCATCAGTTTGTGAGTTCTTAGTATGACAAATTGGGGCTTCGCTCCTCCCATGTTGCACACTAATCACTCCAGACAGCATTGAGCATTGTCCCGAGCTGTGGTGTCCCCCGGCCATATCGGGCCAAGCCCAATGTTAATTAGGACTTGATCCGCCTAAGCCTCCCTCTCGTCTCCCATGTAATTATGTAGGGCCGCGTTGTTGTCGGCTTACGGATCGCCTGTGAGAAAGCTCCAGTTGTTTTAGGCCTGACGTACACTCAGACACACACACACACATAGAAAAACACACACAGCCACACAGACACACAGACAAGCGGGGAGTGCCGAAACACATCCATCTAGTATTTCTAGTTGCTCAGGTGATTTTATCAACTGTAGGCGTTAAAGTGCATGTGTTCGTTGGTCCTGATCTTTTGTTCACATCTTATTTGCATTTTTAATTTTCTAAGCGCTGCCTTGATTGATACCAAGTACCAGAGATTAAGCATCTCAATGTGATTGCACATTTTTAATATACAAATGCCCCAAATTCAATTTGTGTTCAATTTATTTTTTCCTTTCATTTTCATTCATTTTTTTAAATTCAAATTAGCATTTTTATTATTATTATTGTGAGGGCGTGAGAAGTTCCAATGCCTGAGTTTCCGTGTTTGAATACCTCGGGCCCGTTGTATTTGGTCCCCTTCTGTGTGCTTTGCAGTTCTTACATTAGCTCATTCTAAAGGAAAAAGGCACTCAATGACCATCAGTTCTCGCTCATTTGAGCCGTGAAAAGTAGCATTAGAACCTTTTGAATGCCACTTTCCTGGATTGAGGCAACTAGTTTCAGGTAATCTTACTGAAGCTTGCTCACTGTAGAGAGAACTAACTATTGTCCTGTTCCTTGTTCCTTGTTCCTTTTTTAAATAAAACAACACCCACAGCATAAGCTACGGCTGAACATTTTCGACTGTACTATTGCTATTATTTCGAGCGATGTTGCGATCGCCAGATTATGATTAGCAATATTAGGTGGAACATTCGCTAAATCAATTCTCATTTTCATTCACAAACTTGTTAAAATCATTATATAGTGGTTTCTGCCCAAAAGCAATGTTCTCTTAAGACAGCAGAACATGAGGTTTATTTAATTTAAAATGGACTTTTGAATAATGCATCTCCTGGGATTTGAAAATTTGACCAATTTTGCCTTTTTTGATGAAATATTTGGGTCACTTGTTCAGCCTAAATATGAGCTTACAGAGACCCACATATACAATAGTATTTATTCATGAAACGCATCCTCGTTCTTCCTCCCGTGCCTTTTAACGTATTGATTCCATGTTAGCGAGTCATCAGCTCAGCATATCGACTTGTGACGCCGCGTGGCCAAAAGCCGTGACCCGCAGGAGTTGACCCTGTCAACAGTCTTGAACCTTCCCTGTCGCCATCTCCCTTCCCCAGGGCTCCAGTGCGTTCTGTGTCGCGACGTGTTCCTTCCCCCTGGCACGCTGTACCGCGTGGCGGGGTTCCCCCTCTCCCTGCCCTGCGCCGTCTCCGGATACGACGGCCCGCGCACGCAGGACTTTGAGTGGTTCCTCATCAGAGACGACGCCGAAGGGAGGCAGATGGGAGTGGTGTCCACCAGGGACGAGGGCTTCCCTTACGCCCCTTTCCAGGCCCGGGTGAAGAGCGGGGAGGTGAGGGTCGAGAGGGACTCGGGCGACAAAGTCCGGCTGGTGATCCAGAGGCTGCGAGCGGATGATCAGGGGAAGTATGAATGCTACACGCCCAGCACGGACACCACCTACCAGGGGAACTACAGCACCACCGTGCCTGTCAAAGGTGAGGAACAAGGTAGTGGTGATAAGAAGAATGAGAAGCATCCCACAGGTTCTGGAGACGGGCTGGTCTCACAACACGAACATGAAACGGATCGCGGAAGTAATCAGGGATCAAAAATACAGATGAGATCAGAGGAACGAAGAGACTTTTATTACTTGTGACCAGCAGAAGAATATGAAAACCCAGGCAATAAACATTAAAATACACAAACTAAATGAGTAAAAAAGGGGTGAATAATAATACCCGAATGATTGCAATGCAACTTATTTCAAGCTCAATCTCTTTCAGCCAGATGAAAATGTGTTCAGAAGCTGAAGTTGTCTGGTCAGACTTATAACCTTTGTATTGTAGCACCAACTTCTGCTGGAAGTTCATTAATCAAACTGTGTGTTTACCTTGCTGCTCGATGACGTTCCTCACGTCCAACTCTCATCCACACTTCCTATTTGGAGTTTTTTACATCTGCTTACTGATCCTCTTGCAATTCTTTGTTTACGGCCTGCAAGGTGTGTTTGTGCTTTGAGGCTGAAGAGTTTTAACCTCGTTATAGTCGCCTAAGCTTCGGCAAAGCTCGAGGCCAAAGGTCGGTAAACGTCCCGCAGTCGCCTTCAGCCACGCCGATACACGACTTGCTTCATAGAAATGAAATTTGCCTCCCGTCGATTTAATGTAATCGCCTGTGTCTCTTTACACACCCGCAGTGATCCCTGACACGCTGCAGATCAGCTTCTCCCGCTCGCTCAGCGGGCAGCCCGTGCCCGAGGGCGCCGAGTTAACGCTGACCTGCTCAGCCGGCATCCAATCGGAGCAGCTCACCCATCTGTCCGTCACGTTCGGGAAGCGCGGCGAGGCCGGGGAGGCTTCGGAGAGCGGCGTCGGCGTCCGAGAGGTCATCTCCATCGACAAGCTGCTGGCCGTCGTCCCCGGGCCCGCGTACAGGAAGCGCTACGAGGATGGAGAGATCACGCTGGAGAAGAGGAACGGGGAGGCCGGCGTGGACGTGTACGTGATGAAGATGAGAGCGGTGCGGCCGCCGGACACCGGCGCGTATTTCTGCGAGGCCTCCCAGTGGATTCGAGACCCCGATCGATCGTGGCAGAAGATCGCACAGAGGACGCTGGATATTGGCAACTTGACCGTTCAGCGACTAGGTCAGTGCAACAGGGGGGGGGGGGGACCGGGCCAGCGCTGAGTGCTGACACGGTGAGGGCCGTGGTCAGCGGGCACGCTGCTCGATTACGGTGTTTGGCGATGATTGTCCAAAACAACTTACAATACATGAGGGAGAAGAAAATCCTAAAATAAAGTTTGGTTTCTACTGGTCGCTTTTGTCAGTGGCGTCGGTCGGGCTGGGCTTGTAGTGCCGTTTGGTACGTTGGACTCTTTCCAGCTTTCAGGCTAATCTCTGTTTGTGTTACTTACAGCTTAAGTTAATGTCTAGCTTGCTGGCTGGCCGACTGGGCACTTTAGATGGGGGGCGGCGGGGCTGATTAAACATGTAACAGGATACGCATACGCAGTCAGCCTGTTTGCTGAATTAGTATTGGCCTTTCTAGCAGCTTTGATGGCTCGGATATTATACTATTGTTCCACTATATTTTATTATTCTTTATAGATATCCCTGTTATTTGTCTCGATCAATCAATTTGTCTTTTGATCTATACAACGGTGAAACTCTGAGATGACTTCATCAAATGTCCTTTTTTGTTAACTCGCAGTGCGTCAGCTGTCAAACGGTCTGACTGCTGAATTTGATGCTCTTGCTCTTGATGATTATCCAGCCGGATCCGAAGGGTCGATAGCTGGCTGACGGAGCATTAGAATAACGGCCCGCCGCCTCGCAGCTCGGATCAATTTAAATTCTAAAGAGCTTGTGTAGGTCTGAAGGATTAAGCAATCTTTCCTCCCACCTTGGCCCCTTGTAGCCCACAGAGAGCATAGCCATCCCTCTGTCAGACCGCTAACAGCTTTGTCCTTTTCAAAACCGCTTTAACAACTCTGACAGGGTTTATGGTCTTGATATGTTCGCTTCATAAAACGCATTTTAACGTTCAATATTTAATATCCTCCCCCCACATTTCACACATGTCGTGTTGCTGACCGAGTGCCGCGAACAACTGCATAGTACTTGCTAATTACTTATTGGTGCTAAAAGTTATTTAGGTCAATTATTTTTCTCTTCAGCAATACAATTGGAGCTGAAGTTGAGACATTGGATCCGATCAACGCCTGCATTGTTTTTCTGACATGCAGTATCTAGCTCTGTCCCCTCTTGTCTGACTAAACAATAGTCTGATGCGTCTCCTTTTGTTTAGATAAATAATGCGTCTATTATGGGGCAGATCTGTCTGGGGGTTAAATGAGGCTTTGCAGAAGTTTCATTTATACCAGGTTATCAGTAACAATTTCAGTTCCTTAAACTTCTCATTAGTGCTTTATCTTCCTCTGTGAAGCTTTAAATGTACCTCAGAATACAACACAGTACTTCCGCCCACATGCTGAAGTTTAATCTTTAAGGAAACAGAAAAGGACAAAGGGGTTATCCATTTTATGGCCATCGAATATATAGTCCAACAGAAACAACTCTAGCTCTTCCCCCCAAAAATGAAAACCAAAGTATATATTGCTTCCTGTGGATGTTTCTGAGTGCTTGTCAGAGGCCCTACACCATTATCACTAATCTGTCTCCCTCTTCCCTTTGCTAGCGGAGTCCCTGAGCATAACGTCCTCGCCCAAGGGGGAGGTGACGCTGCAGGTCGGGTCCCCTCTCATCCTGACCTGCGAGGTGTTGGGCCTGCCGTCCGAAGTGAGCTCGGGCCTCCTGGTCCAGTGGACGAAGAAGGGGTCAGAAAGCGGCGGCGTGGCTGGTAGCGGTGGAGTCGAGGTACTGACCCATTTGAACTCTAGTTGTCTACAAGGTGCCACGCAAAATATGTGTGTGAATGCACAGGTCCCATCACATTCTGAGACATTGTTCTTTATGTTATGTTACGTTAAGGTGGAGGTGGCCCGGATGAGCCCGAACGGCGTTGTGAGCTGGGGGGATGACCTCAGCCGGGCGAGCGGGGGCTCCATGGAGAAAGTGGCCGAGGGGAGGTACTCGCTGAAGCTGTTCTCGGCCCGGCCCTTGGACTCGGGGGTGTATCGGTGTGTGGTGAGTGTGTATGCCGGGGAAAGGAACCCTGGAGTTTCTACCCCTGCAACGCTCACCCAGAGGTCCGAGGGAGTCACTGTCAACCTCAAGAGCAAAGGTGAGAGCAGCTTCTCACACAACAATATAGATGCATAACAGTAAAATGACAACTGGAACATGTGACTTGTTTCTCTCCATATTCATCAGAAACTCTAAAACTACCCTTTGGGTTCACAGATGTGCTCGTTGCCGCTGTGGCTCATCTACCTCGAGGCCCCCTTTTAAAAAGAGGCAGTACCATCACCCTCATCTGTAACGCCACGGTGACGACCACAGGTCCCGCCCAGGCACAGGTGCAGTGGCTGCGCTGGCCGATCCCCGAACGAGGCGGCAAGAAGATACCGAGCCCAGCATTCGATGTCACTCTACCGGACCCGTCCGTGCAGAAAAGGCCCATACTGGTAGCTGCCCTCATGTACGACGGCGTCGCAAAGATCTACACCAACGGCAGCGAGGTCAGCGTAGAGCGCCTGTCGGCCGGCAGCTACAGGCTGAGGGTCCACGCGGCGACAATGGAGGATCAGGGCGTCTACGTGTGTCACGCCCAGGCGTTCGGCCAGGACCCTCATGGCGGCTGGTACAACACGGGGGCCAAAGCCGAGTCCAATGCGGTGACTGTTTACCTGTATGCCAGAGGTAAGAGTCTCCCGGGGGGGCGGGGGGGTATTTCTATGCAATAATCAAAGCGATCGTGGATGCTGCATGCAACGGATTACAAGCAGATACAGATTAACTATTTCTGAAGGGATTTTACTGAGATCATAGCTTTAATTCCCCCTCCAACACACATGCATTCACACTTAAAAGCTGCTCAGCACAAAGCAAAGTGTTATATAAAACGTTTGTTACCCAAAAGAAACTATTTTCTACCTAAGAGTGAATTCTCCCATCTGAAAGTGGATTATAATATGATTTAAATAATATATTTTTAATTTACATCACTGCATGCTTCTCCCTTTTACCTTTCAGCTGCCGACCTCGTCCTGATCCCGTTGGTTATCGGAGTCTCCTCTTCCTTGTTTGTGGGCATCGTCATCATCGCTACGGTGACCTGCTGCTTCATGAAGCGACTAGCCAGGCAGAGGGCTATAAAATAGATGTTCGCAGTCTCCGTCTGTCGGAAATCTGAATGTTCGCAAAGACGCACAAAAAGAGGTAATACACAGAACACAGTGGTTCAAATAGCAGGGGAAAATGAAGTGAAAGATGACTCGCCCTGTTTATTTTCTTTTTGCTGTATTTTGACAAACCTGTTTAATGTCCAATGCCAAAATAATCGTAATAATAGTTTTTTTATTTTCTTGTATTTTTATATTCAAATGGTCTCTGACCAAATTTTAGTGTTTGCTCCACCTCACAGCCACAGGCGTAATATTCTAGATTTTTGAGGCCACTATCAAATTGTAGAAATACTTTTTCTATGTTAGCTTAACCCATTGCTTTGTTCAAATGAAGAAGTGAAAAATACACACGCTTTTAAAAGACCAGGTCAAAGGCGCCTAAGGTACTGCAGGTATTTTGAGGAACCTCGTGGATCCGAGCAAACAGAAGTCACACCTGTGATTGTTACAATATAAAAAAGGCTTCTCCGCCTGTAATAGCTCTATTTTCACATAAAGAATATACTGTGTTTTCACAAAGGGTCGGTTGTTTTCCAGTGGTTCTCTCCCTCTCCCTGCATGTATTTTTCTAAATGTCTGTGCATGGTTAAGCCTCTAGCACTGCCACTGACAGTCACATGAATGCTGATGGGAGCAGTTCAGTGTCCAGAAGCTTAATCTGAGCAGGAACCTTCCACCGCCTGCAGCCCAGCAGCACTCTGCACGTAAACAAAGTCTCTGTCTGTTACTTAATAAGGAAGGCGCTGGCCGGCGGCAGGATGATGCCACGGCCAATTGAATATCACTTCTAAACACAAGAATTCTTTGCTTGCGATACTGCGTGCTGAAGTGAGTTTTCCATACGGACTTATGTAGATTTGACGAGGCGAAATGGTAGAGTTACCCGTTATGCACTGAGCTAAAATATGTAAATATTTTGTGGGGTTTAGCTGTTTTATTTTTTCTTAATGTGAGTAAGACCACGCTTTCTTTTACAAAGCACCAGTGTTAAGCATTCTGCAACAGTCTGCTCTTATGAAGCACTCTGAGACATGGGACTGAGTTCATTTGTTCTTAGACATTAACTCAGACAGAAAAAAATCATATTTGTCCTATTTGTGATGCTGAAAAACTGAAAAAAACATTGTTTCACACCGATTAGGTAACTTGTCCCCAATGTTTAAATCTCCTCAGCAGCACAGTCATGTGACATAGTTTAGTGGAGTGACACTCACATCATCGCCATGTACCGGAGTCATTGTGACTGCTGCTGACGGATTCACTGTGTCTGCACACTGCGAAATGCATCCTTTTCTTCCTGTGCAAATTAAAACATGAAAAGTCGAATTTGTTGTTAACCAGCTCGTGGGCAGTTCCTTTCTCCTGCTTTGAATCTGTTTGCATTGACTTACACTCTGCTGTCTCAGTCAGTCTTTACTGTCTGTCTCCTGGTGGGTTTTTCAATGTGAGAGTCCCTTTAAATCTGCTTGTCCTCCCTATCTTGTGCGCTATAAACCCCCCCTGTTTTATAAATCTCGTTCACAACCAATAGGGAATAAAACCACAGATCTGCTTGCTTCCCGAGCCACTTTGTTCCAGATCAACTACTCAAAGCTGATTTGTTCCCCCACATATTCGACACACATGATTATATAGTTACATGCACAAATGCACATGCACCAACAGTGCAGCAGCAGCGCTGGCTGGTATGTCAGATGCAAATAAGTGAGTATCTGCGTGCTCATCTCTAATCCCTGTTCATGGCGGCAGTTTGTGTCCTGCTGCCCTTCCCCCTCTCTCTCTCTCTCTCTCTCTCTCTCTCGCTCTCTGTGTGTCTCTGACGCAGCGCCAGTTTGGCTCGTGTTTTGATTCATTTCTAATCTCTGTTCACTGAGAAATACAGCTGACTGTAAGAAGTGCAGCACACGGCGTGCAAAGCAGCTGTAACGAGTTGTGCTTTTGTTTGAGGATACATGTTAAACCCTTTTTATGAAGGTGTTATGTTTTGACTGTTTACTCATGCTTTAAAACCACTGTTCCTGAATGCATGGATTGAAATATACAAAAAGGCTGGTTATTGCTGAGTTTCTGATGGTGCTTTGGCAGACCTGCCAGTTGAAAAAAACAATAAACCACTCTGGGTTTACAAGATCTCTTTGGTTTTATGTATTCCTTTGTTTTCTATTGCAGAATATGCATGTAAGGAGATAATACGTTCCGTCTGCAAAATAAGTGTTTGGGTGCCGGATGAGCGTTCTTTCCATCTATTCAGTAGGAAAAGTACAAAATATATCTTGTGGTTGCTGCAGTTTCCATGTTTGGACCAGCCAAAAGTTCGAATTTCAGCTCAAGTTAACTCTCAGCACTTTGCGTTCCAGTTTTAGAAGTAATTGGGCAGAAACTGTTTCTTATATTCTAACAGAAAAACATGTGCTCATGCAACCCGAATAATAGTCCAATCATCAAATTTAATTACCTAGTATTTCTGTTCCTGCTCTTGCTAGATGAAATAAGACACAACGAAAACAAAACATCTCATCCAAACCACCGGATTAAACTGCTCTTTCGTTCAGACGAAGACTTGTAGAAGAAAGAAGCAACGGCACAATGTCTCATAACAGCTTGTATCTATTGTAATTGTAAAATAGTTATTTATCATGTCATTTCCAGTGCATCGCAGCCGGAGACTCAATGAACCTATTCAAATATCTCCCTTTCTACAACTAGTATGCTGACTAAGCATTTTTGAATATGATCCTGGATGATTCAGTTCCATTTGCAAAGCAAAATGAACACTGCAAATATACATATTATTACTTCCCCAACGTATTTAAAAGGCCGTGTAAAGTGAGCGTGATCAACCCACAGATAATTATCACCTGGCTGCAACTTCTCCTAACAAGTTGCCCCCTAGTGATAGCCAGTGATAAAAAAAAGTCTAATCTAGTCGTCAAACTTAAAGATAAAACAAAAAACCTAGATGATTTTGTTCTCAAGTGTAACATTTAATGAATTATGCCAAACATAGACACAACTTTTTATTAAGTTCCACCATTGACGCTGCTTCTAAAAGGACTCTGAGCTTCCACGGCACTGTGGCATCTGTTTACAGAGCATTACATCACCAATGCAAACACTGTACCGATGTTAATCCTCTTCTTCCTGCATGACTTCGGAGGGACACGGCAGGCACACAAACGCGGCTTTGTGGCCGACTGATATGACGCTGCGCTGCGGTTGGTCGGTGAAGGTACCTGCTCTCCCAATCAGTCCCTGCCATCTGAATGTCAACCGAGGCGGGATTAAACGTGCAACACAGCGCAGGCCCATTGCGGCAGGTGACCATAACTATTTCATTTCCAGAGAGTTCTGAGGGCTTATCATTTAAATACATTTAATCATTCAGCAAATTAGATCTAGGAGGGTTAAACAGCCAGCCTGACAATTTATTGTGAATAAACCAGCAAATTGATGATTAATGTGCAACCGTTTCCTCACAGGTTGATGTTCTATGAGCACTTGATTAAAGAAAATACAATAAGTTGTAAAGAAAGTTTGGTAACTTCTTTTGATACCGCTCAAAGAAAATAATGCTCATAACAGTGTTTTGTTATAGTTGTAAGCGCTCATGAATATGAATAACTCATTATGACAATGATCATCATTACACATTAATTATTGTTTAAGGACTTATAAAGGTCAAGTATGATTCATAATTGGAGGTCGTAGCTTCAAAACTCTTTTACAAGGATAATTGCGTATTCATTTCCAATAGTTGTAACATACTGCAATATTTTTTCATATGGCTTTCTAAGATCTCTATAGTTACTATAATGGTCATCGTTTGCTTTAAGTGAAAATATATAGAAATTGTTTCTTGCTATTATAATCATAGTTTTTTTGTATTGTTATTAGGATTATTGTCAAAGGGCATTCTGAATGTGTGTTACTTACAGCTATAAATACAGACTGCTGTAATCAGATTATGGGGCATTTTAAATGATTCAGGTGAGTGATCAGTGACAAAGTGAGAGACAACATATCCAAAAAACAACGCAAAGATACGAGTAAAAAAAAAATCTTTACATCATATCAGCAGAATATCGTACAAAAAAGCCCTATTTACATGACTTCCAAGCTCCTTGCTCTCTACTGTGTTCAGTCTATCACATGCCGTCATTCATGCATCCAGCCAAGGACAAAGGCTGCATTAACTCTGGTAGTTGCAGGACCACGACCGAGGTGTCACCGACTCCCAGAAGCTCTTCTGTTGAGACGCAGTGGAAGAATAGGTGTAAATACGCTAATCCTTCCCTACGTGATTAAACATAATTCTAACATCGGTTAATTACATCCTATTTATAGACGGTTACTTGTGTTAAACCACTGTTTGTGTGAATGACGCGGCTGGCTTTAGAGGACGCCTCATGTGTAAAAAAGTATGTTAAGTCCATCCGTGTCCATCTGTCAGGCAAATCCTTAACATCTGTCACTACATCAAACGTTGTTAGATTTCTACACACCCCCTGATACTCGACACATGTGACTTTCTAACAAGAGCTTAGAAGTTGGATGGGTCCTGTATTTATTCTGTGTACACGTAGTACATGGCTGCAGATAAGAACAGTCAATAAAAACAGTCAGTTATTATTAGATTTAGTGTTCATCTTCAAAAAGTGTTTTTATGTTCTTATTTGCACTTGAGGTTGATCGACATCTGGCCTAGTTTCCATGTAAGTATCTCATAAACTGGGGTCAAAGTGCTGTCTACTGACGTCACTGTAGTGCAGCACACTACAAAAACCTGCCGTCACACGGTGTCTGTTCATGTACCTCCCCGTGTACCAGTGGGTGTGCGTGTAGGTGGAGTACGTACCCCGGCCTGAGGGCAGTGTATCTGAGCGTACCACTCCTGGCAGTACAGACACACCTGGACACCCTGACCCAGGAAGAGACACATCCACATGATGACGTTGAACACGGGGCTCTGCCGCTTGTCATTCATGGTAAAGTTGAACACCACTGTGAAAGGACGACACGAGGGATTATGGTGGTTGATGATTGTTTTTTTTGTTGTTATTGTTTTTGACTGTTAATCTACATGAGATGTAGCTCATCTCGTGCTTATAAGGACTGGGGAAAATAGAAAAAGAGCATGCAAAGCAATTTTCTCTGATGAAGACTTATATATAGCCAGAAGGAGATAACTCAATGCATACGTGTGGTCTCTTGAAAAATAATAAGAGCTGTCTGAAAAGAGCCTTTGAAGACACAGTTCAGAACGTTGAAGGCAACATTTACATAATTTTAAAAACCCTTTGCATTTAGAGACAGTGTGTTTTAATTTCAGCAACATTTTTTGATTCCCTTTTTCTCGCTCCATCTCATTTTCATCCTTTATTTAAAAGCCATATATGTTATTAAAAAGATTTCCCCCGACCAGCAGCAATCGAATACCAATAATCTTTGTTTACATCGTTCTGAAGGCCCTCCCCTGAATAATGAACGCAACCCCTCACCTCCGAAGCAGGCAAAGAGACAGAACATGACGGGGTAGAAGAAGCCGAATCCCATGCCCAAGGCGTACTCGTGGACGAGGGCGGAGACGATGAACACGGAGAGCATGGCGGCTGTTCGGAATTTCCTTTTCGACAGCTGCAGGGATCAGAGGGGTTCGGCTCAAAGTTCAGAGGTCAAGCTGGTTCAGTGGGGGAATTACAGGACTATGTGACGTGCTGCCGATTGTATTATTGTTTTTGTTTTTTTAATATATTTTTCTACTGGATGTAATCGTAGTCTCCCCGTACTCACCAAGAGGAAGTCTCTGTATCCGTAGTAATAGAGCCAGTCGTGAACCACTACATTCCAGGTACGGTAATAGTTGGCGAAAGATGTTGAGTTCCACCAGTCCTGAGACATCGACGCAGGGCAGTAAAATGAGGGTGTGGAAAGAAAAAATAGAGATGGATCATTTCAATGCATCTAAATTATACAGAGATGACTGCTGTCATAATATGTTATAATACGTAAATGGTAAAAAAGACAAATACTCTGGAGTGATGTCATTTTACATAAATCAATCAGTTGTAATTTAATGACAACTTGCAGCAACACATCAGTCAAAGCACAAGAGCACAAAACTGTCAAGTCATGTTCAGGAGAAAACTGTTTCAACAGAATATAATGTTGGAAAAGTTCAACTGTTTAGGAACAATAGGGACACCCTGCGGTGAACTCATTTGTTAACAGTCAAAATGTCCCCTTCTGTAAAAGCAAGCCCGTTTGAAAAATGGTGCCTTCACAGGAAGAGATGATGTCAAACCTTATAAAACATCCTGTCAGCAAAACGCAGCAGCTCCCCGAAGAGGTTGAGCCAGCAGTGCAGGAAGGCAAAGAAGCAGAGCAGGAGGAGCATTGTGCCTGTGATAGAAAGTAAGAGAGAGGGGGGAGGACACTTTTAATCTGGGCACCTTTCCCAGCTTTCTCATAAGAATTGTAACCCGACACTCACTCTCTTAAATCCACACTACGGAAAGCCAATCACTTAAAGAGAGTTATAAAAATGCCAGGCTTGAATACCTTTATCCGGTTGCATAATAGCATCTTTAATCTTATCTCTTGGAAACACAAGAGACTTGTTACCTCGATTTCCATACCAAGAGATACATCTTACCAGCGCTGACTCACACGGATAAGAGATAAGAAGTGATGTAACAAATGAAGATTCATTTCATTTCCGTGTGTGTTTTACACGTGGCTTAAAAATCTTCCAGCGCAAGTTCCACGAAGGTGGCGAGTAGTAAATACTGTACCTGGTAATATTGCGTGGAACACAGCCAGCACCATTGTTCGTTTACTAAAAGGCTGGTTGCTCTTGGGTCTGAAGACGGGCACGCAGAGGCGGACCAGGATGAAGTAGCCGTAAAACAGGCACCCAAAGATCTGCAAATTCAGCGGTAGGACAAAAAAAAGAAATAAAATAAGGGACAAACTGAATTTGGTATAAGAGAGAAAGCTATTTAGCACCTGTAGTTTATTTTTGCTTCAGGTTATCACATAGGTGCTAAGAGCCCTTCTAGGTCAGATCCTTTCTAGGTCATTAAACCCGCACACACCTTCTTCCTTTTCCTTCACAGGCTTACATAATCTGACTGAGGGGTGATGAGTGTGAAAAGCCAAAGTTGTATCTTACCATACCAAGTGTGGTGAAAACATACTTCCATCTTATGTGGGAGTTCCTGCAAAGACACAAGGGCTTACTTCAAAAATTGCATTTTCCTGAAGGTATTTCTCCTCATAATATTGATTATTGATAATCATTGTAGGAAAAGGCCATAAGTTGTTACTATTTACATTTTGAAAGTGAAACAACATGAACAATACCAGGCCCCTTAAAAGAAAGCAACTAAAAAAGCAATTAGCTTACTATTAAAGTTTGTCTATGTGATATTCAGAGCATCAATTGAGCAGCACATATTGCACGTCACAATATAGTGGAACAATGTCTACCCGAGCATAGAATGACTTCATTTTCACTGATTAAAATGAAATAAAGGAATACAAGCAAAGGTCAAAGGAACAGCTTGTCTTACCGAGGATAAGATTCCCTGTAGATGAGAGTTGGACAGAAGAGGAAGTACAGATAGCTGGAAAATGTTGGAGATCTTGGACTTTCCCCTGAAAAGAAAGGAATACTCAGTAAGTATGTTTCTCAAATCAAGGAAGTAAAAAAAGGGGTTTTGTTTGTTGACAGTAAAATAAAAAAGACACATTCTTCACCACCAGCAAACTTTTGCAACATGACGTCATGGGGCGGCACATACTTGAGGTTATTTATTGCATGTGGGTTTAGTCGTTAGTTTTAACTTTAGCATGCATCATTATAGGTGGTATCCTGCTGAGGTCTGTATTAGTCATTTTTCCCAGCTGTCTGGGAGTGTCGCTGTGAGTAATGATACTGCCCAAGGTGTAAATACACCTGGCATTAGTACAATTCAGCACAGTACCTTGCTTTGGTGTATTCTTCATAATAACAGGAGCGGTTTCTCTCATGAACGAGTAGCTTTTCATCAGGAATCGAATCTGGGGAAAATTGATAGATAGATTATTATGAGATGAGAGACACAATGTATCAATTCAAACAGCTTAAAAACGACTTGACGAGGTGAAATGAAAAACGTACATATTTCATTACGTCATTCTCATGTTTCTGTTTTTGTGTATTTTAACCAATGATACATTATTTAAACCACCTTTGTAATTAATCTCGAGAAGGTACATCAACGGGGAACAGTTTTCAGTGATAGAAACATAGATGGACCATTCGTCTTCCTCAAACTCAAGTTCTGACATGATGCGTCATCTGTTTACAGCAGAGAACCGCTCTGTACTCAAATCTAGATTATACACTTTATATGAGTACAATTAGGCTAATTGGTCCCAGCGCAGATGAAGATGGGGAACGAGTTTCACAGAAGGCCTAAACCCCGGGATTACTTCACTTCATCCAACGCAGCTGAATTAACAGCAGAACTAAGGAGGTTTTGGGAGACTGAGGAAGCTGCGATAAAGAGGATGAGTTCAAACGACGGCTACAATGAGATCTACTTTCTCCTTTCCAGCTGGAAGACTCCCATCTCAAGCATTTCTCATTCTTGTTATTGAAATTGAGAAATCTGTAGAATTATAAAAACTGAGCGGCTGAACTGCTCATGTCAGCTGTTTGGTGACAACAGAATCCAACCACATTCGTACGTGTGTACCACACGGCTTTTACAATGACTTTTATTCTCGTGGTTTCTCATAGAATGAGGATGTCCTTTTCACTCAGTAAGGCTTCAGCCGGTCCAAAACCTTTGCAGCCTGTTTTCAATAAAAGGGACAGCGTTTATTCCTCAAATAGACACTGACCTGCTCCAGTATCACGATAAACCGCGAGGCTGGCGGCAGCTCGTAGTGCACAGCCACGTAGACGGGAAATATTCCCAGCACACAGGTCTGCGCTGCAGACAGGACCAGACCCGCGCCGAGAGAAAGCCCCAACTTAGAGGGGAAGCTGTGGTACAGAGATCCCCAAAACACCAGCGTGAAGTAGGGCACGAGCAGGGTGTAGACAAACATCACAGTCCAGGCCCAGGTGACCGTCCCCAGCTTCCCAAAGGCAAAGAACAGCAGGTCGAACTCCAAGACCAACCTGAGGTTGCATAGGAGAAACACAGAAGAATCCAAGTTTTTTCATAGAAAAAAAAGAGTCTGTTTTAGCTGCGAACAGGGTATTGGATTAACCATTAAAATGATATTAAAGCATGACTGGCTTTGATTAATGGCGGTTGTAGTTAAATACATTGAATATTTTACGCGTTCATTTCTCTGAAGAGAGCCCTTCTGGTGATAACAGAAATAGATTTAAAATCCCACTCACTGCAGCATGTCAACTCATTAAGTTTCAGTCAACTGTGGGTGGACGTATTGAACAATTTGCACACAGCCGACGGAGAAACATAAAGCTTTAAAATCACAACAATGCGTGACTGCAAACAGCAACTGAATCATTACCGATCAGCCCAAAGCAACGGCAGAAATACTCTGAGGGATTGATTGCTCTGTTTTTCTGCTGCCAGACGCGCAGAGCGGCCGGGAGAGAAGGAGGGAGGGAAGCAATAAGGGAGGAAGATAAGACGTTCTTTTTAAAGGCTCCGCGGTAATCGAGCTTCTATTAGTTCAGGGTTACAGGGTTCGATACGTGTCATTGTCGTAAACCCACTTCCACACGCACGCATCCGAGCATGCACATGTCACACTGACCTGCCCTGGTCGAAGAAGTCGACAGCCAGCGTGCTCAGGCAGAAAATGAGGAGGATGGCGATGAACATGTGGTAGATGGTCCTGATGTGGTTGATCTCAAACAGTTCACTGATGAAGAGGAGCGGAGCCTTCATTAACGTAGCTCTATGTTGTATTCATGTGAATTATAGTGTGGTCCTGAATATATACATGTAATAGGATGTACACAAACTTGCTTATTTGCAGTTTCCGTATGTTGTATATTTAAATATTGCAGATTTCCACTCTGATCAAGGCATGATTGTTGAAACAATGTTTTCTCATGGTAAACTGGAGACGACTTTTCTTTCACACTTACTCCAACAGCGATGGCCTGTCCATAAACATTTTGCCATCATCCATTCTCTGAGAACTAGAACAAACACAGACACAGAGAAGAGAGAAGATGAACATGTCTCCCACATCAATGAGGGAAAATGTGCTAAAAGTTGGCCCCTTACCTGGATGGGGGTCTTTTGGATGGCTTCCCGTTAGCAGCTGGCCGTATTTGGCCAAAAGGCTGGATGGAGTCAGTCAGAGCTTTGTCTAGTAAATCGCCAAGCTGATCCTGGACCTGCTTCAGGACATTCCCCTTCACCACCTGCAGGACGTACAGGAGAAAGAGCTTTTTCAACCAAAGCATAAGTTGCAACTTTTACGCTGCATCCTATCTACTCTGCACAATTTGAGCTTTTGTATTGTATAGTAAGCCAGCCTGAACACAGCTACTGTACATTGCATACATGTAAAAAAGTCTATTGGTCTACATATACTATTCAAAATATTGCATTGCCATCCCCTAACAGGTAACATTTCAGTGAAATGTGGGGATTACATTAATAGTGATATATTTATACAATTTCTTAGCTACTTTGAAGATGTGGTTTATCTTGAAAGGCAGAAAATATTATTATTATAATATTTTTGTCTAATTTCAAGACATACATTTGATGCTATTTCTCAAAATCCATTCCAGGAAGGACTGGGCTGGAAGGGGAGTCAGCGGTTACCTGTGCATGTTTCTGCCACCGTTTTAGATCCTCCTCTTGTAAAATATTATGGTCTTCACCTGCAGAGAGAAAAACTTAATTTGCATTAAATGAACTGGCACAATATACCATATTTCACCTTAATATCCAATTAATCCAATTATTAATTTAGTATTTTATTATTTTAATTTTAAAAAGCCACCAGCCACTGGGTTTAGTGTGTGGGTGTGCTTAATATATATATATATATATATATAATAAATAAAATATAAAATACAAATAAAATAAATATGGTCATACCGTGACCAGTGATCTCGTCCGACTGACGGGTCTTGACGTTTCGGTGCAACAGTCCGTTAGGTGGCTCTGTAGTTGTCATGGTTACAAAAGGGCCACGCCACAACAATGTGGACAGTCCACTGGAAGTCAGGCGGACAATCCTGTGCATGTCAAAGTTGAAAGTTAGTCTCACACACATTCGCTTATGGAAATCTAATAACGTTTGAAGTCACATTGTAATATGCTACTAATTATTGCTGCCAGGTTCCTATTGGCCCAAACCAGCCTGTTGTCTATTGGTCCGATAGGGGTAGGAAAACATAAAATCCATTAAATCTGCTGTTTTTTACTCATTAAAGAGAATAAAGTAATGCAACATGCTTGAAACCTTCAAACCCCGGGATGCAGTAATTATTTTTGCTGTTAAATAGTTTTTATTCACTGTGAATTTAACCTTTGCAGTTGAGGCTTGTCGGTGTGAAGAATATTAAACTATTACAGGCCCGTTGCAGGCAGATTGCCTCATGCAGAAAATCATTGATATTCCTGATGAGTCGGTCCCAAAGCAGCAGGCTTTCTCGTGTGCATCTTAAACTGAAAGTGCCTGATCTGAATGCAGAAACAAATCAGGGTCAGAGGTTTTTAAACTGTAGTGACCCTACACTGCTTGTCCATAGCAAAAGTCACTTGAGTTCAAGCTAAACAATGAAAACAAATGATAAAGACTGTCTACTTGTCCCCAGTGGACGTTCACAGCCTATAGATAAGCCATACAGATGACCGACGAAGTAAGAGACATAGAGTAACCCCCTTCTATGGTCCATACTGTTTGATCACACAGGGGAGACATGTCAACACAGCAGATAAGCTCACACAGATACACAGATTATGTATTATGTGCCTGCAGATAATGAGAAAGAGATGAAGAAAAACATGTCTCGGAGCAGATCCGACTTAATGCCACAATTATACATTTTCTGCTTAAGCAGACCAGATGTATTCTTTGCTTGTCCTCTTTTCTTATGCTACGTTCAGACTGCTATTTAATGACTGACTTGATAATAAAAGTCGGGTTTGAATTTACATATAGTTGCTGACTGTAATGGGAAACAATGAACCCACGGATTTTAAGTGATAGTTCCATCAACTTGCCTTTTCAACGTATTATTGTATCCAAACTCAATGTGGATGTCATCATCCACCCTATTTGCATGAATGGCTTACCCCATCTTAATGGGCAGCTAAAAGAAAATCCAGATTTGGAGTCGGTGATACTGTTTTGTAGGGGTACAATAGCTTCAGGCAATCCTATAACATTTGGTTAAGTTTCCATTGAGAATCATAGACTACCATGGTAATATAATTTCCCTAATAGGTGTCTGCACGGTTTCACATTTACATTTTTCCAGACCAACTTACGATAAGTGCATTATGCAGTTAAACCAATGATGATTGTGATGACTATCATCACTGTTTCAGAGGGATTTTCATGTCGGATGATCATAGAAAGGACTTTTTATGATGTTATGGAATTTAAAATGAAGGTCAGAGCCATTTTGAAGTATTGATTGAGTAGTTATCTTGAGCTCCACTGAGAATTTGCTGAAAAAGACATCCTCAATTTTATTGTCAGATGAAATCTGACCGGTTAGGGTACAATCTGTGTAGTAAATGACTGTAAAGTTAATGTTTTGCATTAGTATACGTTGTTTACAAACCTCAAGTGATTCAATCCTACATTTCCTTCAGAACAAACATATTTAAAGTGTCACCTCCAGAAATCAACTAAAAACCTGGATTGTTTTCTTTTCATACTGATGCACTAATGTGAGGACTTTTCAGCAGTCAGTAATCACACTCTATTCCACATTTGGTCATTTACTAAAACCTGTTCTTAATAGTGAATAGCAGAAACAGTGTAATTCTGGCTATAAATGTGACAGATGTAACATACGTTTCAGGCAGACATCCAGGAGAAAACATCTGTAACTTTGTACTCACACAGCTTTGCAGTCAGCGGGCTATCGGCTGGGACGCAGTGTTTCGATTGAGGATCCCAGCTGACAGGGTGTGTTTTTAAGCCTGTGTCACAGTTCTTATGATCCGTCTCCTCTCCGTTTCCTCTGCTGCCGTTTTGCACTTTGACCCCTTTGGCAGAACAGGTACACCTTCTCTTCGACTTGGCATGTGAGGTCATGCTGCGGGACAGTTCGTCCCACATTCTATTGACATAAAATTACTCTTGCTAGGTATGTTCATAGCATTATTGAATTGTGTGCACATGCTACTTGAAATAGCTGAATATGTCTGCAGGTTCGATGACATCCTGGTCAAAGAGAAGAACTGAATGGGTGTCAAGGCATTGAATAGTTAGTAGTTTAATTTAATAGTTAGAGTATTTCTCTACTGTGTATCTCAAGACATGTGCACAGGGGATTGTTAAGCTCATTAGGAGTAAACATATTCATAAACTTTGGGGAATTATCTCTGAAGTGCTCAGCTGTATGTTCTGGAGAAAATAATATGGGCAAACTCTTGCTCATAACTGCATTATTTGTACCTTTCACAAAGACTGGAATACAAGTAACACATGATGTAATGAAACAAGATGAGCAGTGTATTGGAAAAGGTCATGTAACTCTGTGGGCAAATACAGCGTTGGTGAGACTACGGTACGTGCCACAGCGGTGTGTCATTTAAAAAAACGTTTGTTGTTGTTTTTGGCAGTTGGACCAAAAAGAAAAAACATGCTGTACAAAGTTTATTTTGTGTCCATGTTCTCAAAGCGTTTATCTTGGATAGTGTTTGGAACCAACTAAAAGGATAATAGTTATTTGAAAATTCTTTATGTGAACAGCAGTTCCACTTATTAGCAGCATGTGAGCACATCTTACATTCATGCAGAAAATGAAAAATGATTATTAACAGGGAGCTCTCAGACACTTAATACAAAAAAGTAAATTCATTTCTCATAAGTATGTCAGCCCTCCCCCTTTTTGTACTTTTATTGTACTTGCTTAACCTATTGATTTTTTAGGGGGTTAAATGTGACTGACTCACTTTGAGCTGATTCTAATCATCAATGATGATGATAATAATGTGTGGATGATATTATAAATGAATTAACTCTTATTTCTCTAAATAGAACCCATGAGAAAAAGGGTAAAGATATGAACTAATAGATATCACACGAAACCTCCCAGAAATTCTTTTTTGCATTAAATGTTTTTATGAAATATGTTCAAATCCAAAATTATCCATTATCCAATGCAAAATCTCCATTTCCTTTTTTTTTCTTCTGACAATCTCAAACAAACAGCATAAGATCTCCAAATGGATTAGCGCATGAAAGGAATGTTTTATTGCCAGAGGTTTCTCCCCAAAAGCAATTGAAAATGTCTGCATTTATGTTTTAGAACATAGACAGTGTAATAATAACACGACATAGGATCATCTTTATTTAAAGGAGATAACAACACTGTTTCCCAGCAGCTACAGAAGTACTGCATGCACTAAATCCCACACTATGAACAGACCGACCGACGCACACGTGTACAAACAAACATTTTGCATCAGTTTTTTTTTCCGACCCTACCATTCTTGCCAAGTTAGATTTCTGCATATTTTAGGCTACAGCTTCACACATTATTCAACTTGCCTGAATATTTTCAGTTTGGTTACAATGACAAATGGAACAATGGAATCGAAAATATACTCTCACCCAAACATTTACAGCTCGGTATTCAACCACAGCACATGTCGGAGGAATAATTGTTTTCTTTGTGGTTGTCATTCATTAACAGAAAATTGATATAAAAAGGCCGTTCACATTCAACATTTCTTTAGCTTATGCAAACACTTGTCTGTGACTGTGTAAAGTTGCACAATGTCTTTTTATCAGACTTAACAGCTGCTGAGTGAAGTAATAGAAGCATAAAGAACATAATGTGATAAAGTGCTTCATGAATTAGCATCAATAACTAAATAGAAAAGCGGTTCTCTCAGTTACGTTTGACATCACAGCCCACAATGTAACGTAATAATTCAGTTTATGTTATCATTAAAATGGCAACTACTAAAAATATGGGGCGAGAATTACAGAGGAGACAGATTTTATTTGTAGGTAACTTATAATTTATATGGTGTTCATTTCATGTGACTGAAAATCAAAATCTTGGGCTTCACGGTCTTTACAGCTGCAGGTAAAAATACTATTTTTTTGACAATCAAAACTGATACTTACAGTACTATCACCCTTGATGCTCTCATCCTGACTGGCTGATCAGGAGCTCATCACGAAAGTATGAAGGGCGACCAGAACATCATTGTGTGTGTGTGTGTCTGCATAGAGTCAATCAACTTATCTGCTCAGATAACTTTGGCTGCACCCATAGAACACGGCATGTGTGATATAGCTACACGTGAGGGTCAAAGGTCAAACACCTGATTGTCTGATGAAGCCATCTATGTGTGAGTCAGAGGGCCGAGTATCCTACAGTGACCTTTGGTTTATGGCTCGATCAGAACTTATAGAGACCTCTTCAGATGAATCACTCTAATCAGGACTTTGGTTTCGATCCAAGGTGCTTCATACAGAACCGTGGGGTGAGTCATTGACATTAACATTGGAACGGCCGCTGCACGGGTACATGCATTTTCATTCAATGACAAAACCCTGGAAATCCGATATCCAAAAACATTCAAAGCACACATACAAAACAAATACTTCACATTCAGAAACGGCTATAAATTATGATTTGTTTTAATAATTTATAGCAAAAAAAGTTTAAATAGAGCTAAACGCTTAATACTATATATTTATTTATTTATTTTAAACTAAAACCAGCAGTATAAAAATAGTTGCTACACATTTCTTTTTTTCCACTCTGCCATGCTTTTGGGTGTCATGACAATGACGGAACATCTCACAGACGGTCCCTGCCATGCTGTTTTCTTTAGGGACAATTTACTGCTTAAGAGTCTCTCTACTATACGACAGAATCAGTATTTAAAAAACTATCAGAAACCCTCTGTTTATGACTCTACGGGTGGGATACACCAAGTGGCCTTTCAAACTAGTTGCAACTTATGCAGTTTACCAAAAGTAAGACGTACTGAGTCAACTGAACATTTAGGTGAAGGATATTCTGATGAATGCCCTTATTAGCATTAAGATATTCACAATGGGTCCTTGCGTGGTTGGGTAGAAAGTGGCTTTAAGACCTCCACAGAAAGAGTGACTTGCTAGGGTGTACGTATATGGAATATATGGGTTACCATTTATTGAGTGTATGTACGAAAGTTATCCTCATCAGGTACTAAAATACTAAACTGTCATGACTTGAGGAGTTAGAAATAAACTGCATAATATATGTAAAGTTAATTTCCTTTGGTGTAAAATGTTGCAGGCAAGATTATAGACTACATTGTTACTGTGACGGCTGAAACTGCTTCTAGAAAGAAAAAAAAGCATAAGCTTTAATAAGTCTGATGGTGCTGCAGTTTATTTTCAGACAATCCCACTCACACAATCCTGCTGCTGTAGAAACTCACTAGAACACCACATGTGGTTAAATTGAATGAATCCACAGCTGAAAATGGTCCCCATGAATCTAATTTCTACCTGTGTTCTAGAAGGTGCTTTTACTGAGCCGTTTGGTTAAAGAATAACACAATACTTCATTGATCTGTTTTAAACATCTTTGCTTGAGACTGAAATTTCAGGAGATTTGTTAACAACAACAAAAAGTTGAAATAGTACAAGCCTAATCCTTTAAATACAACAGTTTTTAAGACTGAATTCCCCATTTATATTGACACAGTTATTTTTTTAGATTTAAACATTTCGTGGTAATGCAGTCTCACTTTCCCTCCTAATATTGACTTTGACATGCACAGTTCTAAATTATACATATTAGCCAGTAATCCTGAGGTTCACTGTGGAGTTTCCAGATCCATTTGCGTATAATTATCATAATATAACAGTAATAGTGATCAAGATTAAGCCTGTTGTTAATTGAACCATTGCCCTTCAGTTCACTGTGATACCCTCACTGATGCAAACAGCACCTACTAGTGGTCACCTACAGACCTGCACCTTCTCTTCCCCACCTTCATGGGAGGGAGGGTGCAGCAATATGGGCGTGAGCTGCCAAGTCACACATTTTTGAGATGCAGTGCATGCCATGAATCTTACTGATACCAACATACAACCCACATCCGTGTAGAGGAAGGAGAACATATTTAAAAAGAAGAAGCAAGCAGGGGGCGGGAAAGGGGACCCCGAAGAGATTGAGGTCTGCTCACAGCAGGTGAGGATAAGAGAGGAAGGAGAGGCTGGGAGGACGGTGTTCAGCTGCATGCAGATGTACAGAGGAGGCCTCAGAAAAAGGATGGAGGGAGCCTGGGGGGGAGAGAAAGAGAGAGAGACAGAGAGAGAGAGAGAGCAACAGTCAGATACATTTGAAAGTAACAGGGAGAACGAGAGGGCGGCCGGTGAGTCATGCCAACATTGCCAGAAGGAACATGTCGCGAATCATTTTATTTCTGGTGTCTTCACTGAGAGCCGGATGTGTTTAGGAACTGCATGGAAATGTCTTGGGACAGATTTAGACTACAAAGGATGTAAAACTGTGCACTTTGTAAAACTCGTACTAGAAGGTTTGAGTGAATTCCCGTTTTTGTGACATGTGGTGCTGTATAATATTCACTTGAATAGACGACAGGGGAAACCAAATGGAGCTCTTGACGGCAAAATGACTGAGATAAAGTAAAAACCCAGGGGAATCGAGGATTGAATGAATCTTTTTCCAATGGTATTTCCCAGAGGAAATACTTTTTTTATAATGTTGTATAATCTTTGACCTTCGCTGATATTTATGAGAGAGTGAGTTAGAAAAGTGTGTGGCGCTGAGCCGAGACAGATGCTCTTTGTTGGATATTTCTGAGCAAAGCGTCTTCTCTGAGCGTAGGTATTTTTAGTGCGGGGCCCCCAAAAAAACAAAAAACAAAGCTGTCCCTAGCAGCTGGCAGTGTTGTAATCTCTAGAAACCCCCCGAGACCCAATAAACTCTAAAGTCATAGTGATGTTACGTAAGACAATGTTGGCTCCCAAACCAATATATACAATGGTCTAATAGAGTTTTAATATACAACTAATAACTACTGTTTGGATAAGAACATTTAGTTTCAAATGGCAGGTAATGTTTGATAAGCATTATTTCAGATTTTATTTCATGCAACATGAAAGCTGCAACATCAGCGTTAATTCCTTTCTTATTTATTTTGAATGTTCTCAACAAATACTTGTAATCCATGCATGAGCTTACAGGAGCCCTCTAAGTCTCACAAATGTAAAAGCAGCTTGCAAGCAGGGACGACATGTGAGAATTGACACTGCCAACTTTTGCAACTTCAGTGTAAAATGCTTCATTTAAAGGCTCATGCTTCTCAGGATGAATGTTTTGATGAATTGAAATGATGTAATGTAATCTTTTTCTTTGTTCTTACCTCCCCAGGACTATTAGCTGGCTGAGGCCTTCGGCTGCAAGCTGAAGAATTTGTCTGGGTCGTGGTTGTCACAGACGTCAGTACTGGACCCAGAATTCACATTGAGAGCCGTGCTATCCAAACGCACCGGAATCAAATGCGGCCGGAGAACCGACAACCAGATTCGCCAGCGGCAGCATCCACGGCAGCAACCAGGGAGCAGTGACGGAGCAGAGAGAGACGCAGCCGTGAAGGAAGTGAATCCGTAATGTTACAGTAATTGGTCTTAAAATACAGGTGAGATTGGCGCATGCAAGGTGAATGTGGCATTCAACCTGTTTTTTGCCCATAACTGACTGTTTTCAAAGATGCTAAAATACAACACGTAATTATCCTGCTCTTTTTCCTGACAGTAATTCTTGAAGTTGACAGCTGATTGTCTCCCTTTAAAAGTAAATACTTTAGGGCCTTAAGTTGAAAAAAAAGCTGTTAAAGTCCAAAATGAACCCTAAAACTAAATAATTCATAGTAAATACTCAACGAGTAACATTTTAAAGGTGAATTCTGCCCCATGACTGAATAACACGGAATCCTGCAGAAAGGCGAGAACAAAGCAGCAGCGGGAGTTTCGCGGTCCTCAAAGACGGGGCAGTGGTCTCACCTGTTGTCATTGATATCTGTGGTGTTTCCTGTGGACAGAGAGAGGTGCATAAGGAGGCAGGCAGGTGCACAGTGAGAGGGTTGGTGGCGTGTAAATGAGGGGGGGAGTGGCTTTGTCACACGGATAGATGGCAGCTGCATAATGTGTCAGTTTCTCCAACAAACAGTCTACTGTATTTTTTGGGGATGAGGACATTCTCTCTAGGGATGTATGACTGGAACAACCAGTAACTGCTATGCAGTATACGCTTTAAAAGAAGTGCAGTATCGTCTTGCTAGCCGCTACTGTGGAACTACAAATCCACAAGGCCTGTTTTTTCTTTTCCTCAAACTTCCCAGACACAAAATATTCAGTTTGCATTTCATATTAAACAACATGTTGACAGCAAAACACGTCAAAATGTTTGAAATATTTATCAGCCTGCAGAAGAGTATGTGGGCATTGATTTGTCGTTATTCACGGCAGAAAGCTTACTTAATTCATGTGCTTCCGTTTAAGGCGCTGGCTGTAATCAAGGAGCCTTTGCATGACTGGATTATAAGGCTGCTCGGTTTAATCTCTTTGAAAAAAGGTACGACAGTTAATGAAAAGCTTATCCGAACAGAGACTGTCAAGGCGACACCTCAACGGACTCAAAATACACCAAAATGTGAGATTTTTTGTGGCACATGTCTGTCAAAGCTATTTGGCATTGACTTTTATACTTTCCCATAAACTCTTATTAAAATGCATGAACCGAGTGGAATCCCATCCCAGGGGGCCGTGGCATGTGAGGTCCCAGAAGGAAACCTCTCTCCTTCAGAATACATTACAGTGCACAAGCACATCCATTCCGAAAATGGCACATGTCCACTTCTGGGAAGAATACGAAATAAGGATTGAGAATTGATTAAAATATTTAGAATAACAAAGCTGCAGTTTTATGCCAAAAACAGGCAAATGTCAAGCATTTACTTGATGGGTTGACAACCTTCTAAAACAGGCACCGTGGAAAGCAATAACTAAAATCAGCGTTCTCCGGATACCATCTCTAATAACTGTTATTTGATAAAAAGACAGGTACCATCGCAGCAGTTTTGCTGTATTGGCGCAGTGCCAGTTTACGACTTTTATTAATATTGGTGGAGAATGAAAAAGGTGTAGTGTCGTTACGTAACTCTACAACTGTCAGCACTGGGTCACAGGCCGAGTTGGGCACTCAGCCTGTCTGGCTGGTTATCTGTCTGGCTGAGTAATGACACTGCAAGCTTAATCTATCTCCTCAAGAGCCCGCTGATGATGAGAGCGGACACACACACACACACAGAAAAGGCTCAAGTAGCATTATCTTCCCATCCTTAGTGAATTCCCCAAAAACAGCATTACGTAAACATATCGACGCTTCGTCCTTTTTCCTCACACACCAATGAATTACAGTCATGTAATTGAGGCCATTACAAGGAGCTGAGAGCAGAACAGTTATCAGAGCAGCAAGGCAATCACTTTAACAGCATGAACAACATTTAAACATAAAGGCTCGCGTGATGACATAATGGCAAGCACTAAAAAATAAAAAGAGATTTTATTATTTTAACTGCCGTCATCTGAGCGGGGCTCACCGTTCTCTGAATCGAGCATCTCCGCCGTGTTCTTGTCTGCTTCGCTCTGCGGTTCGGCTCTGAGGCTACAAACAGGGGGAAGAGACATTTGTGTGAAGGCAGCAATGGGATTTGTGAGTCAATATCTTAGCTCTTTAGGTAACAGAACTAAAACGGCAATGAAAAACGGTGCGTTAACTCAACCGTTGAATGATAAAGCAACGTCAAAACAAAGACACAGACACGCCGAACGAAAAAAAAAAAAAAAGAGCTGGAACGTAAAAAGCTTTCACAAAATAGTCAATAGTGCTTCACTTCCTAATGGAGCTGTTCCTGGAGCATTCGCCGTGTTTCAAAAATCCACATCAGCGGATCGTTGTTATGACAACTGCACTGACGGGCGCAGCTTCCCGAGGAGCGGGCCTTAAGTTTAGTGGCCCGAACCGTGACCAAGAAAGAAGTGCACAGCTGCCTGAGCTTCCTCACATGTTGTCCTGAACGCTGCCCTCTTGCCCGTCGTCGTTTTGGGAGTCGAGGTGTCGGCCGGCGCCGACCTGGTCCGGGTGGGCCTCGGCTAACCTGGCCTCACCCTCCGGCGCCGCGGGGGCAGCGGGAGCCGCTGCTTGTTGCTCGTTGACGTTGTGGAAATCGGCTTTGCAGGAGGCCACGGGGTGGTGGCTGTAGCCCCGGATGAAGAAGGGGCTGGTGGGGGAGCACGGTGGGTAGTGGCCGGGACGCACGGGCTTGGCTGTAAGCGGTACAACAGAAACCAAAATCCATCGACTGAACCGTTCATGCAGAAAAGACCAAAACATCACATTTATCGGTAAACTGCCCACAGCGGATGTTGCTACACGCTCATCCGCAGCACAAAATACTACATTTAAATGGTAATAGAGCACTGGGAATAGAGCAACTTGAACAGCTTTCTATATGCTACTGCATACATATTGTGTTCTTTGAGACAAAATTTACATTCTGTATTTCTTTTGTTTAGGCTGTGATTCATTTTGATAACACAAATCTCCTTCTGATCAAAGTTTCAAACACACCAGCACAAGCTTGTGTACTTCACTGCAGCCTGCAAGCTGCTGTCAATTGAACCTGACCACGCCTCACCAGCTGAGAGGAGAGAAGCTTCTCTATTTCCCCAAGGACCCCTTTTTCCTCCTTTGAATAATGAAGAAGACTTAACAATGCATGAATGAAGGTGACAAAATGAAATATTGCAGTAACTCACAGTTGCTTCAGTTTACTCCTCAAATTAAAATAATTATTCTAAAAACACTCAAGTCAATGGCTAATTTTCTGACTGCAGCCCAGTCATGTAATTTCTTTCGCAGACGATTCAAAAGTATGAGTGCAATTGGATGAAGTGGGGTTCTGTAATTAAAATGAAGTACACTGCTTTTCTAATCAATGTTTTTTTGTCTCTCAGAAGATCTCACTGCGCAAATCCTTACACAAAATATTCCCACCAACCATCACAACTATAACTACAAACATGTTGTTGAATTTAGTTACCAAACGCATCAATGTGTTCCGCAGTGGTGAAAACTCTTCTCATATGTCGATCACTTATGAGTAGGTGGCGTATGAATGTGGGACATTCTGGTTGAGAGGGAAGGAAAGAGATGACAGACGATGCAAATACAACAATGGATGTCTCCTGTGGTGAAATCACTTAGCAGAGACAGAACAACATTCCTCCAAAACATCCTCTCATGGTGGAGTACAAAGACCACGGATGCGATGAAGCGATGCAGCCTATTATTTGAATTATTTAAAAGAATTAATTAAGGGAAATTTGCAGGTGTTGAGCTTCAGTGTCTTACCTCTTCTAAGAACAAATAATCAAAACATGCAAAATTACCATATATTGTTTAGTAAGATAGCTTGATTGCAGGATTCATTAGTTTTTAATTAAACTTATTTTGATTGTGGACTTTACGGATTGAGCACGATCACACGGACTAAACCACTGAGACACGGAGATGCTGTTACGAAAAGTAATTAATGTCCTCGAGAGGGGTTTTATGTAACTCTGTACTATTGCATTTTAATACCCTGCAGATCCAATTTAAAAGGCTGGATTCGGTGGATTGCAACACACCCAAAGATCAGAAGACAATTTGATCAGGAAACACTTTCTTACTGAATTAACAAATGCAGCAACGTGTACGCAGATCATCCGCTGGTGGCTGTTCCCAGTTTTGAAATAGCGGAATCGCTGGTGAATGAGGTGAGTGCGTTACCGATCTGTGCAGCGTGGGGCCTCCGGAAGGGGTTGCGGGTCCTCATCACATCTTTGATGCGCTCCACCTCCTGCTGGTAGCGGTGGCGGTCCTTCATGGCTCCTTCCTTCGCCTCCTTCAGCGCTCCCTCCAGCGCTTTAACCCTCTCGGCCGTAGAGCGAAGCCGCTTCTCCAGTTTCGGAAGCTCACAGCGAAGATCTGCGTTGTCACGTACCAGCTGTGGAGGGCACACACATATACAACAACATATACAGTAAACCCATGTCAGTCAGGTAATATTTAAAATACAAAAAGAAATTAACGATACAATACAAAAGTCAAAGAAAGGTTTTGTAAACTATTGGTGATGATTTTGACAAAATAATTCTTCATAATTTCTTTGTGTCTGAGATTATTTTCTGAATACAATTGGAATACATAGAAAGATACAGTATACATTTTTTTTTAAATCTTTGTGTGAAGTTTTGCTGTAGTTTGTTTGGAGTAAGACCAATAAGAATGTTTTTTTTCTAATATTATTTTGTTTTTTAACAGTTTTATCAATATATTGGTTGATATATTGAGACAATCAAGACTTTCCCCGACAATTGCTGAACACAACTTGGTTGCTTCAAGAGAACAGTCTCGTTTGTTGTTGATTAAATAATGAAAAAATAATTGATTGAGCCCCTTTACGCAGAGTCTGCAGCTATGTGACCGTAATCCCCATGAGTAGAAGACCATGCAGCAACAGGCAGAGATTTCTACCATACAAAGCATTCAGGGATTGAATAGAACCACAGGAGATCTGGCAGTGCAAGTATTTGGTGGTGAGTCATTCTAAAAAGAGATGGAAGTAAATTCACGACAGTTGTGAGTGTGTTGAGATGCATTGATGGGACGACATCACTATAACTGTACAGGGGGCAGAGAAACTCATCCGTAGCTCCGGCACGCCGTCCGCTGCCTGCCTATGGGAGTCCTATCACTTTGCACTGGGAGCTTTTTTGATTTATGACCGTGACTTTCATCTTCTGTTCTCACAGAATCAGCAGGTGGTGGATGGGACGGAGTTTCCCAGCAGCCACTTTAGGATTGGTTTTCAGCCACTGCTGCAGTGCAGCTCTCACCAATCTGCCGGCACGAGTGATGTGCCAGTCTGTAGAACATTTAATACACAAACATTCAGCCCTCTGCTGCATTTAGTAATATTGAAGAAAGATGGAAAGTGTGTGTGTCTGTGTGTGCGTGCATGTTCATAGACATGTCCTTTTTGAGCACAAGGTTGCCTTCGAGAGCAGAGACGGGAGAAAAACCGGAGCGTGTTTATGTGAAACCACATGATGAAAACGTTTGTATTTATCAAATCAGAGTAGCTTCTTTATGCATGGCTTCCTTTTCCTAAAGGCAGCGTGACTTAACACCCCCGCTGTGTTTCAAAGGAGCCTTTCATGGGAATTAGTAAGATGATTGATGGACCCGGCGCTGCTTTTGCCCATAGGAGCGCAATGAAGAACATAGTATTCTATCAAAAAAGTTTCACTTTGCTGCTCATTGTTACCTGTTTGTGAACTTTTGTAAGCTGGTTGAGGTTGTTTTCAAGAAAGGAGATTTTCTGTTTCTGGCTGATATATCCCCCGCTTTCATCAAGCTCCATCTGTGCACTCTGTCGACAGGAACAGAACAGATCTTTTAGCGTTGGAGGAACACTGCCGTTGCAAATAAGAAAGAAACGCATTCAGTCCAGGTGAAGCCACATGAACCGTAGCTACAATCGCTTTAAGCGTGTTGTGTTTTTATGTTGTGTCCGGCTTACTTTTCTAACTTGAGTCGTGAGGTCTTGAACGAAAAGCTTTCGGAGGTTGTGCAGGGTGTAGAGTTCACGGGCCTTTGGTATAAAAGGAGAGAGTAAATAGTCAGAGCAGCAGGGGTATTTATGGTGGATCCGTGGCCTCTGAGGGAGCCAAGCGAATCGTGACAGTAAATGATGACTTACGACAGTCTCTTCCAGCCCTTTGAGGTCCCTCTTCGACTGCTCATGCCGCTCATGGAGAAATCTATATTCAGACAGATAGATGAAAAATTCTTTAACCTTCTCTATGATGACAATGTCAATAATGCATTCAAAAACAGAACTATAATGAGTTATTATTGCTTATAGCACTGCACAAGCACTCATAAATACTCATAACGCTTTAAAACAATAACATCATAAAGCATTTTACAGTTTCTTAAGATTTCAGGTCTCATTATTTGCACCACAATTGCAGTGTATTAAAGTAATTATGTATTACATCTATGGGTATTATAATACCCCATGAGCCCTGCAAAACAGACTTGTCAGTGAGTGGCAGTGAGTACCATTTCCCGGCAAGAATTATTCCTGAATAAAGAATAAATGTAATCATAGACTGTCGGCCCGGCTCGTGGCTGATTCCCATCTGCCATCTGATCAAATTCGCTGCAAAGGTCAGGGCAGAAAGAGGCCTATTAACAGCCAGCTGCTACCTTGTCCCATAATGGTGGAGAAAGAGATTAACAAAGAAATACAGAAACCACGACAGAGAGAGAGAGAGTGAAAAGGGAAAGGCCTTTATAGCGGCAAACTCAGCGACTGAACGACGCATGCTGCAGAGCGAGAGGAAAATAGACAAACGACAGAGAAAAAGGGGAAGTTGTGCATCAAAAGAGGCAGCTCGCCCCGGAGCCTCCATATGGTTTAGTGTTTGAAAGCTGGCCGGGACAGTAGCGCATGAGACTCACGTCAGTTCCTCCAGCTGTCGGCTCTTGTGATGTTCTTGGCTCCGGAGACACTCAAAGTCACAGTGCAGTTGCTCCAACTCCAGCTGCTGCTTCTGATTACAACTGAAAAAGGTGAATAACGGCTCATTCAGTTCAATGGACAGTTTCGATGCAGATCTGTAGAGAAGTGTTTCCCTTCCGAGTATAGATACAATCTGACTCTTTTTTGTTCTTCATTTTTGGTTTTACCCTCCTTTTCTGATTGTTGAATCTAAGATGAACATTTATTGTACACCCACAACGCTCCCATTACAGCGGCTTTGTGGCCTGCTCCATCCCTCCATCCAAACATTGGCGAGCTGCTTATCCAAACCAGGTCACGCTAGCGGAACGAGCAGAGAAGCCCCAAGCGTCTTTTCATTCAGAAATCCTCCGCTGCTGCTCCTTCACAGTCACGCCCGGCACGGAACATCTTCACAAGGAGGCACTCGAAGCGGCAGGAGCCCAAACATGCTCCTCACACAGTGGTTCAGCAGCTGCTTTACTCAGACGTCCTCACAAGCTGCAGCTTCGTAATGTGGCCACCCACATGTATTTAAGTCAGCCCTTTTTGCTGCTTGGCCGGATCTAATTTCAGATTTGAGCCCACAGACTGATGACGGAATGGGTTACATGTTACATGTTTCCGTGACAATGTACAAACTGCATAAAATGGGGCCAAATCATCTCATACATTGGGAGAACCTCATTTAGTACAAGCACTGACTCCGTTAAGTCGGCGATGATCTCCCGCTTCTCATTGATCTCGTCTCGCAGGCGCCCGAGCTGCTTGCTGTGCGACTCCCGGTGCGACTCCATCTGCTGCTCCAGAGCCCTCTGAGGAACACGCAACAAGTTTGTGAGACACACACGCGTGGAGGGACTAGAGGTGGGAACCGATGGAAATCGAAACGACTCAACAACGAGAGGGGATAGAAACACACACGAGAGCCCCATTGGCATTACACAAACGTAAATACACACACACGCGCACTTCTTTGTGTATGGTATAAAGTGAGACACGGCTAACTGGTATGTGCCACACACTCACAAACACACACTCACTTAGAATAAATAAAATGTGCGCAAATAAAGTGCAGGCAGTTAATTAAAAACAGAAAATTCTCCCAACGATACAAATATGTCCAGCAGCTGAAAAATTCACGTGTTGCATGTTTACTTTCACTCTAGACCACCCGGGCAAAGTACAAATGTGTCCTGCTCTTGCCCTAAATAAAACCGTCTGTTTATTTTTGCTATTGATTGATTGATTTCCTGCCCTTTTGTCACAGAGACACACTGTGCGCACACATAAATGCACGCTAACAGGTGCACACGAGCACATCACACCTGACAAAGGTCATTACACTAGGTTGTTTTATATTGTTGTCATGGTTACCTTCATATCACAGGAATCATGGGCGCACGAGTGATTCTCCCCGCCGGTCACCTTTGCCATCCTCTCTAAAAAAAAGAAAACACACACACACACACACACACACACACATTTAAGAGAACGACAATGAGAGAAACCCAGAAAGAGAGATTGAAAAACCTAAATGAAAAGAAAAGGAGGCAGTTAAAAGAGACTGATGAAGATGATAAAGGTCACGGCTGACTTTGACAGCACAGCAGTTCCGCTGCTTCGTGTTGACAGAGAGGTCAGCGTGATCCAAGTCATGCCTCGGGTGTGATCATATCGATCGCTGACAGTGACATCTATTGTGTTACGTTGATCTGCTGCTAACTCACTGCTGTTCCTGCTGTCGGATGATGAAATTACAAAGCTCTCTACCTCGCACCGGGCCGGGCCCATCAAGACAACCTGTGGAACTTTGTATTTATCTACATCCCTAATGACTCAAAGAGCTCATGGTTGAAGTGTAGATTAGGGCCAAAATGTATTTACCTGCCCTTAAATCAATCAAGCCTCTCCTCGGGAACCGGGACTCACGTTGCCAACGGCCTGGTTTGTGAATCGCATCGGTGCCCTGGGAATATCTGCCGTGACGTGGACTTAGCACGCATTTCAAATGCACGGTCATTAATCTATTGGTGCTGGTGTTTTGACAGGCTTTGGAGCTGGAGTTGTTCATCAGCGTTTGACCTTGCTTTTTTACTTGACGGGACCAAAGCGCTTCTGGCACAGCCGCCACGCTCTGCACTGAAGCCGATGAAGTTGTTTTAATCTGCATTCCCTCAAAGTTCCAGTTCGGTGGAGTGACACGTCTTTTTCATGTTCTGCTCTGTCTAGACACGATTGTGTTCTGCTGCATCAGAATATTAAACTTTTATTTGACTTTGGCATCAAGTGAGCAATTAGGCGAGAATTAACTATGTAGCTCAATCTACATTTCGTCCTTCACTGTGCAGCGAGCGAACTTCAATCCATTTAGGACAATGTCATCTTAAAAACCTGTGCTTGTACATCACTGTCATATTGTCACATTGTCATAGCATGCTTACATCAGTAATTAGCTTAACGCACTGCTGTGCTAAATTCAAATTGAGAATGTCGTAGACATTAGTCGTAGACCTTTTGAATATATTGAGAAAGCTTTTTTATTCTTTTTTTTTAACAATACCAATATACAACGTCAGTCTACCTTGAGCTTGGAGTTTGGCCAGCTCCTCGCTCAGTGAGTCGTGGCTGTCCTCCAGCTTCCTCTTCTTCAGCTCCACGTTCTGCATGTAGTCCGTTAGAGAGCGGATCTTTGCCTCGTGCTGAAAGACGGACGATGTGAAAAGCACAAATCGATGAGCAAAGGACCTCTACATGGCAACGCTTTGCACAAAAGATCATTTTTATATATGTGGCCTCCGGAATTCATTGGGGAATTTAAATTAAACGTCAGTGGTACCACACAATAGAAATATGCAATATAAATGTACCTTGATTTTAGGTTTTCCATATATTTATTATTCTCCTAAAAAAGCCTAACTGCCAAAAAGGCATATTAATTGTAATATTTACTTGAAAGTAAAGCTGCAATTAAACACGCTTTCAAGCACTCACCAAAATACGAATCACGCAATCCTTTAAAAATCAGGACAGTTTGTACACTAAAAACTGTTGAGGGACACTTGTCACACACTCATCATCAGGATAGTTCCTCACCTGTGAAACAAGGAGGTGACCTGAGGACAGCTCTCTACCCGTCTCCTCCATCTTGCGGTGACACTCTGTTTGAAGGTTCTCCAGGTTGCGGCAGCGCTTCACCATTGATTTAACCTCCGACTTTATCTTACTGATGTAGAGGCGAGCTACTGTGAACTCCTCCTCGATCGCACCGGTGACCTCCATGTGCTGCAGGCCAATGAGGTGGAGAGAAAGAGAGGCCGTTAATGGAGCAATGGAGACTTTTAGTTAGGATTCAGTGAGTCGGGCAAGTTTAAAAAGGGAGAAAGGCATCTCAGAGACTCTCTCTGACATCATTAGGTTTTATTAGAAATAAGGCGTTTGGTTACACATTTACACAAACAGGGATGTCTCCAACTCTTCAGTTTGCCTCTCACTCACCAGCTTGATGTCCCTGTTTCCGAGGATGGTGCTGAACTCACTCAGGTCCCTCGTCAGCCCGTTGAGGATCTCAGAGATGCGTTTCCTTTGGTGGCCGCTCACTTCCTTGACACGAGCCAGCTCCACCTCTGAAGCCATGAGCTGAGCCTGTTAGGAGGAGAATAATGAAATTAGTGAACGAGTGAATGATCTCATTCTCACCCGGCTACCCGAGTAGCGAAAACAGAACGGCAACTAAATTCCAAATCAATAAACCGCTAAGATCGGGGCGGATGGCGTCGGCGCTGAATGGAAGGATGTGGGAGAATGAATGATGGAGCTCCATCGTGTACAGCAGGCAGCTCCACCCTTGTAGGCTGAATGCTCCAACATGAAGAAACCATTTGGTTTCAATCAATAACACTACAGGGCTGGATGAAATATAGAGAACGAAGGTGTGTACCCATTTACCAACTTCCTAAATACAATAACATGAACTCCTTTACTAGCCTCTCCATCTTCATCTCCACCTGTTAACTTCAGGCCTTGATTTACGGGTCACCTCCCATGACAAAACATTAAAACCAAAGGTAGTAAATCATGATCTGAAATTAATCCATTGACGAGTAAGTAAAAGGAAAAGAGGTTCATTTAACATGTTCAGTATATTTAAGCATCGATAAAGACATTTCTAAAAGAGGGGATGATTTGTTAAATCAATGTTTCCCAAACTAGGAGGGGGGGGGGCACCAAACCACACAGACAGTCAATAGAAATACAATAGAACAGATGAGTGTAAAGAAATTGAAAAGATATGGTTGCACCTAAGAAATAGAGATGAAGAAAAATAAATCAAGAGGAAGAGAGAGACAGAGAGAGAAAGAGAAAAAGGGAAGAGATCAATAAGGTTGCGTGTTGCCAAAATGGACAGACTTGTGACAAGTGTAAAGCGACAATCAGATGATAGTCTGTTACAGCTGTGACAGGAACAAAAGAAAACAGAAATATAACGAAGCGTATCTGTCCCTGGGATTTACAAGCACTGTGGTCGGCCAAGAGGACAGAGCCCAGTGTGTCGAGTGTCTTTAAATACTGGCGGCAGATCGCATGAAGCCGGCTAAATTGAAAGACACTTTCCGATCACACCCTGATCATGTTGTGGCAAACCAGGGGGAGGAACAAAGCACTTGGGGCGGAGCCCCAAGCTCCGGTTGGGGGAGGTGATAAGGGGGATTTATTATCCTGTGCAGGTGCTCCAGCCACTGGGAACGTGGCACTGGTCACACCTGCGGCCTATCTGGTAATCAGAGCAGACCCTAGATAAGGAGAGGAGAAGAGACCGGACGGGAGCAGACGTCGGAGAGGAGGTAACCCCCAGGACTCACCGCTCTACTCTACTCTGCTCCTAACAGGACAAGGAAGCGGGCGCCACGTAGGAGGAGACGCCACATATTTCAGTTTGGAAGCCGGTTGGAAGAGCCGTAGTTTTTGACCTTTGTTATTAAAAGGACCCTTTTTGTTTGCATTTGCTGTCTGAGTTTCTTATTTTACGCCCGAATCTGGCCTCACTCCCCCTGGGTTACCACATTTTGGTGGAGAATGCGGGCGTGACGGTCTGTCGCTAAAGATTCAGGCTAAAATAGGTACTCCGAGAGAGACACGGAGAACCATGGAGAATGCACTGACACAGCTCATCCAGACCCAAACCCAGCAGGCCCAGAGTCTTCAAGCCTTACAGGACGCCATCACTACTCTTGGACAGCATCTGGTAAAGCCAGAGAGGCCTACGGAACCCAGTAAAGTTCTCACCAAGCAGACCGGTGAGGATGACATTGAGGCCTACCTAGAGGTTTTTGAAAGGACTGCAGAGAGGGAACGTTGGCCTAGAGCACAATGGGCAGGAATTCTAGCCCCTTTTTTAATTGGCGAAGCTCAAAAAGCCTGCCGGGACCTTTCCCCCGCTGACGTAAACCAGTATGGGGCATTGAAAGCTGCGATTTTGGCCCATTATGGACACAACCTGCAGACGAGGGCCCAACAGTTCCACGCCTGGGAGTATGACGCTACTGCCCCAGTGCGGCCGCAAATTGCAACGCTGATGCGATTGACACGCAGTTGGTTAACCTCGGGGGAGGGGCCTCCAGCGATTGACAGAGTTGCCATGGATCGCTGTATCAGAGCCTTACCCGGGGGTGCCAAACGACACGCTTCTCAAAGCTGCCCAGAGACAGTAGATGCCCTAGTGACGCTGTTGGAGAATCACCAGGTCACGGTACAGTTGATGCAAAGCAGTAGGCCACCCAGCCAATCGGACCCCAGGAGAGACAGGCAGAGGCTGAGGAAGAGCGACACGGAGGCACTGGGCCCAAGCCCGAGGCCCCAAGGGGGTCCGCCCCAGCCATCCCTCCAGCGCCGCCCCTTTGTGAATCCGGACCGGCGAAAATGCTTTGCCTGTGGACAAGAGGGCCATATAGCGTGGAATTGTCCGGGAGAAGACATTCTGATGCCTACGGCGGGCTCCTCCGACTCCCCACGGAAGGCCGACAGCTATCTTACCACGTGCTGGGCTCATGAGGGCGCAAGGGCCCCAAAGCTGCCGGTCAGAATAGGGACCCAGGATGCTGAAGCCCTACTCGACTCCGGCAGTGCGGTCACCCTCCTACGGCCCGGGTTGACCTCTGGCCCCAGGGGACCCCCTATCCCAGTCTCCTGTGTCCACGGGGATTCACGAGAGTATCCCACGACCCACATTAAGGTCCAGACCACCAGGGGCACATTTGAGGTTGTTGCGGGCTTAGTGGAAAATCTGCCGGTACCAGTGCTGATTGGGCGGGACTGCCCGATATTCTGGCGTTTGTGGGCATGCAGGACTGCTGGCCACCGAAGAAACTGTCCCACCAAGAAACCTGGTAGGGACCAGAAAGTCAAGGTGGCACATGCCTGTGCAGCCCCATCTAGCCCAACCACGTCATCTGCAGAAGGGACAGAGGAGGAGGCCCCGGCCCCAGCGGAGGCCCCGACAAGGAGGGATCCCCGACTAACTGAAGGGTCTTCGAACGAGGCTTTTTCGGAGTTCCCACTGGCAGAAGAGGCATCTTCCACCAGGCCCGGGCAGTTTGGGACGGCCCAGTGGGAGGACCCTAACCTGGAACAAGCGCGACAGAACCTGGCTGTGGTCGAGGGAGAACCGGTGGCGGGGGTAAGTGCTAGCACCTTTCCACACTTTTCAATCAAGAATGGCCTCTTGTATAGGGTGGCAAAGCTGGAGGAACGGGTGGTGGAACAGTTGCTAGTCCCCAAGCGCTATATTAACAAAGTGTTGTACCTAGCCCACTCCCACCTGTTGGGAGCTCATTTGGGGGTGGAGAAAACCTACGACCGAGTCCGGGAGCGCTTCTACTGGCCGGGGGTGAAGAAGGCGGTCCAGGATTATTGCCAAATCTGCCCACAATGCCAGAAGACGGCGCCGAAGGTAAACTACCAGAATCCACTAATACCACTACCAATAATCGACATCCCATTCCAGAGGGTGGCCATGGATATAGTAGGCCCCTTGCCGAAGTCCAGTAGGGGGCACCGGTTTATCCTGGTTATCATGGATTATGCCACCCGGTACCCAGAGGCGGTCCCGTTACGCACCGCAAGTGCTAAAGCGGTGGCGAGAGAATTATTCCTTCTCTTTAGTAGAGTTGGGATTGCAAAGGAAGTCCTTACTGACCAGGGAACCTGTTTCATGTCTCGGGTGATGAAGGAGATGTGTAAACTGCTGAAGGTGAGCCAAATACGAACCTCTGTCTACCACCCACAGACGGACGGCCTGGTAGAACGTTTCAATAAAACCTTAAAACAAATGCTAAGGAAGGCTATTGACGTGGAGGGGAAAAACTGGGACCAACTAATCCCCTTTGTCTTGTTCTCAATCCGCGAAGTGCCCCAGGCGTCCACAGGGTTCTCACCATTTGAGCTGCTGTATGGACGGAGACCCAGGGGCATGCTGGACCTGGCCAAAGAAGCATGGGAGCAACAGCCATCAGCCCATCGCTCCGCCATAGAGTATGTCGACCAGATGCAGGACAGGATGGCTAAGGTATGGCCCCTGGTGCGGGAGCATATGCAACAAGCCCAACACGCCCAAGCCAGAATCTATAACCGTAGAGCTCAGCTACGGGAGTTCCAGCCGGGAGAGTTTGTCTTGGTCCTGATTCCAACGGTGGAATGCAAATTCCTGGCAAAGTGGCATGGACCCTATGAGGTGATCGAAAGGGTGGGGGAGGTGAATTATAAGGTAAGACAACCGGGAAGGAGGAAAATCTGCCAAATATATCACATTAATCTGTTGAAGAGATGGCACGCCCCTGACAGTGTTCCGATGGCCGCACTAACCACCGAAACCCAAGATCGTGTCCCCTCACAGGTACCTCTGGGCCCCCATCTGAGTCCGACCCACCGGCAAGACATGGTGGAACTAACTGGGCAGTTCAAAGATGTTTTTTCAGACATGCCGGGAAGGACCACGGTGATTAACCACGACATCATCACCGAACCTGGGAAAAAGGTGAGGCTCCGACCCTACCGCATACCAGAGGCAAAAAGGGAGACCATCAAAGAAGAGGTGAGAAGGATGTTGGAGATGGGCGTTATTGAGGAGTCACACAGTGCATGGTCCAGCCCGATTGTGTTGACTCCAAAACCCGACGGCAGCGAGAGATTCTGCAATGATTTTAGAAAATTGAACGAAATCTCAAAATTTGACGCTTACCCCATGCCGAGGGTTGATGAGTTAATAGAGCGATTAGGCCCAGCCCGGTTTGTGTCCACGCTCGACCTCACTAAAGGTTACTGGCAGGTTCCCCTCACAGAAACCGCCAAAGAGAAGACAGCGTTTGCTACCCCAGAAGGCCTGTACCACTATAGAGTCCTGCCCTTCGGAGTCCACGGAGCGCCAGCTACGTTCCAAAGAATGATGGACCAGGTGCTCCGACCTCATCGGGAGTATGCAGCGGCCTACCTAGATGATGTGGTCATACACAGCCCCGACTGGACCACCCATGTAGGCCACCTGAAAGCTGTCCTGGGAAGCCTACGGAGAGCTGGCCTGACCGCCAACCCAAAAAAGTGCCACCTTGGCCTGGAGGAGGCGGAATACCTCGGCTACACCATTGGGAGAGGCAGTGTGAGACCCCAATCCCGGAAAGTGGAGGCCATTGCCACCTGGCCTAAGCCAGCCACGAAGCGGCAAGTAAAAACGTTCCTCGGCCTGGTCGGCTATTATCAGTGCTTTATACCCCACTTTGCTACTATTGCAGCCCCTTTACACGAGATGACGAAAAACAGCCACCCACACCAGGTCCTCTGGACCACCGAAGCTGAGGCAGCCTTTACAACCCTTCGGAGGGCCCTGTGCACCGAGCCAATTTTAAGCACCCCTAATTTTGAGGACACGTTCATCGTCCATACAGATGCCTCTGGATCAGGGCTTGGAGCCGTGCTGTCCCAGGTCAGAGGAGGAGAAGAACACCCAGTGACCTATATCAGCCGTAAGTTGCTAAAGCATGAGATCAATTATTCAACGTTGGAGAAAGAATGTTTGGCAATAAAATGGGCCCTGACAAAGCTGCGGTATTACCTCCTGGGCAGAAAATTCACCCTGGTAACGGATCACGCACCACTGAGATGGATGTCTACAGCCAAAGACACTAATGCACGAGTTACACGGTGGTTCCTCGAACTGCAAAACTTTAATTTTTCTGTTGAGCACAGGTCGGGAAAAGCACATGGAAACGCAGACGCCTTGTCCAGGAGGGAAGAATGCTATCTCGTTGACGCTCCTAGCCCCAACCTGGAGCTGGTGGAGGGGGTGTGTGGCAAACCAGGGGGAGGAACAAAGCACTTGGGGCGGAGCCCCAAGCTCCGGTTGGGGGAGGTGATAAGGGGGATTTATTATCCTGTGCAGGTGCTCCAGCCACTGGGAACGTGGCACTGGTCACACCTGCGGCCTATCTGGTAATCAGAGCAGACCCTAGATAAGGAGAGGAGAAGAGACCGGACGGGAGCAGACGTCGGAGAGGAGGTAACCCCCAGGACTCACCGCTCTACTCTACTCTGCTCCTAACAGGACAAGGAAGCGGGCGCCACGTAGGAGGAGACGCCACATATTTCAGTTTGGAAGCCGGTTGGAAGAGCCGTAGTTTTTGACCTTTGTTATTAAAAGGACCCTTTTTGTTTGCATTTGCTGTCTGAGTTTCTTATTTTACGCCCGAATCTGGCCTCACTCCCCCTGGGTTACCACAATGTGAACAAGCACCTTGAGTTTTTCAAAGAGAAATTGGAAAACTGAGTCACTTTGCGAAAGATGCTGTCCCGGTGAAAGCACTAGTCACTTCCTACAAAGTAGCCTACATTTCATTTATTTATTCACAATAAAGATGGTTCGATCCATTTTGGGGGGCAAAGGACGGGGCCTTCGATGTTTTTATATCATCACAAGGGGGCTGGACAGAAAAAGTTTGGGAACCACTTTGTTAAACGATGACTGGCATGAATTGTAAAGATGGAAAAGAGCTCGTGAAAGAAGGTGCTTAGATGAACGCCTGCAACAGTTAGCGATGGCATGTCCTCCTGCAGAATAACTGAAAGCGAGATGAAGGACGCTGAGCAGAGAGTGGGTTAAAGACGGGGATGGATGTACTCCATCGCACCATTTTTCTAGGTCACTGCAGCTCATTTCTACTGTAGTTATGAAAGAAATGAGTACATTACGCATTAGCATAACAGCTGGGATGCAGAAAAAAGAGAATTTGTAATAGAGAGTCAGGGGAAATGGAGATGGGAAAGGCCATGTGAGGCAGCGAAAAGGAGATGTTTTTTTTATGTCAGTATTATTTCTTGTTTTCAGTTTCACATCTCGTCAGACTGCCAGGCAGCGTCTCCGAGAGGACATTATGTGAGTTGGGAGGTCAGGGGCGAACGAGCTGAGACATCTACAAAACTTATCTGACTGAGAATAGAAGGAGGTTTCTGCTGGTTTCAGCAGACTAAACGGTGCAGTCAGTCGTTACAACGTCGATTATTTTTTTTATCAATTTCCGGAGCAGCTTTTGATAGAGACGGAGGAGAGGTGAATAATGGCTCCACTCTGTCCAGCGACTCAGTCACAACGACGTCATTAATAACTGGCGAGTTCTGACAACGTCCACTTGTATAAAAACCTTTAAAATCATCAATAGATCCTGTAGGTGGATTTGTGCTGTTTCTGATGAGCTCTTTCCACATTTATAAGCCCCTGAAAACATGGATTTAACTTGAATATTTTCCAATAACAGTTAATATTCATGACTAAGTAAGCAACAATCAATGTTTAAGATGTTTCTGATTGAAATATTATTGAACTCAACGGTTTAAACCTAAACTAAAAAAACATTTATAAAAAGGATTCAAACACTGTACCACTAAGGAGCAAACTGAGAATGACTGTAACAGGATGTTAGATTGAGACTGAGAAACAGATAACATCTTCATCTTCACTAATTTAAAATTCTTTTTTTACAACTTTTCAAAGCTTCAGCTTTTGCAGATGAAACATGCCTAATTAAATCAACCCTAACCTTGTCGACGTTGAATACTGTCGTAATGTTAATCTGCTATTCAATAAAAAACCACTTTAGAACGATGATATGAGATGGCTTTGAAAACGGACCGTAATCAAATCATCAGACAGAAATCTATTTTTTTTTCTGGTTGAATTGCAAAACAAAGCAAATGCAGGTATGAGCTAAAGGAAATGTTGCTGTAATTTGAACAATATTGGTGAACCTATGCCAAGTTGTTGATAAATAGCTTTCCACCTTTTATGTACGCATGTCATTCTTTCTAATACTTCTAGTATTTCTAGATGCATCTGTTCAGGTCTGCTGGATTAATCAGAATTTCTCTCTTATTTTCCTTCCACAAAGCTCTTGAATTTCTCATTATCTTTTAAATTGCATTTTGATGTTCCAATTATTCTTGAAAGACATGCATGTCAAGACTGCGTCTCCACAGAGCCGAACCCACCATTTTCTTTGCACACTCTTCAGCCAGTAGTTTGTTCTGCGCGCTCTTCTCCTCGACCTCCAGGCTCTTCTGGTCGTAGTTGACCGCCAGCTCCTCCAGGGCCTGCAGGACCTCCTTCACCTCGGCCTTAGCAGATTCGTTCTCTGTCTGCAGCGTGCCGAGCTCCGACTGCACCCTCTCGCTGTTTCCCCTGGATGACGCTAGAAGCTGAGGGACGCAGGCGTTTAGCAACTTAACAAAACTGTAAAAACAGAAGGATTCCATTGTGAACAGCTTTGTGCACAACAAGCAGCGTCTTCAATATTCATGAGGCGGAGTTGTGGAATTTATCTTGTTCTCTTGGTAATAACAGATCTGTGCACAAACCTCTGTGAGTCTAAGCAGCTGGGAATTTATAGATAAAACATGTTTAGAATATTCAACTATCTCTTAGAGCTGTAAGACTTTCCTTTTGCCATCAGGGTGTTTTTTCTGCACGCTCCCTGCTGCAGCCCACCGAGGGCCATTTTACTGAATGGATGTCGTTAAATGTAGATTTTGCTCTACCCAGGGTGCCTGGAGGTTTGAACTGTAGAATAAATATTCTGTTTGGCCAAATGGATGTGAAATCATGTTATCGTACACAAAGCTAATGCTGGGTAGTTACCATCTTGTCAACCCACAGCGGGGACATTTTTGGAATGTGGATGAACCCATTTAGCAAATGTGGAGTCTTTTACTTGCCAGTGCACTACATTGCAAAGCTTGTTGCAGGCCGTTTTGCCCCTCTGCTATTAATGGGGTAAATGCTGTTTTCAAATACATTTGAATAGAGTCCTTCTTCCGACAAGTAGCAAACAAACACAGACACAGATAAACCTGTTTACTATATTGATGTTAACAACAGGCTTTGAACCAATTTATATTACATAAAAGGTCTCTAAATTCACAAATGGTTGTGGAGTCATGTTCATCCAAAGTATTATATTCCACATATTGAATAATTACAGGGCATTTGTTTGTTAGCTTAACAGCTACAACGTTAGCCATGGTCCCTTCTCGCACATCACGCTTCGATCCTTCATCAACCCTTGTATTGATCTTTCCCTCCACTCATTAAAGTCTGAGCAGCCACCAAAACACATTATATCCCAAACTACTGGAAATACACTTGCTAATGAACAATAACGCTTCATTTTCTTCAAGTACTTTCTGGCGCCTGAAAAATGTTTTCTCATGCATGTATCAAGGGCAAGGGAATAAACCTCTCCCAGCTTACTTCTATTCAAATGGTGCTATAGATTACCGCACGCAGCCTACCGTGTGCCGATTAACCAAACTGACTTTTACCTCCTCCTGGTCAAGCATCCGCTCCTTCAGTTTCTCCACCATCTGGCTCTGGTGGTTGATGTCGTCATCCTTCGGAGACAAAGAGACATGTTGAATAGACACAGTACACATGTACTGTGGTAAGTATGACACAAACTTGTGCATTGCAGATTGTTTGTGCAATCCCATCATGGTATACGGTATGAGCTTGCACAAACTGCATAAATAGGAGTTATAGTACAGGAAAAAAACGTGGATACATCAGAATTGAATTGGAAGTAAAGCACAGCTTGTTATTAAGTATATGTTAAATTACAAGTCAAAAATCATGTGTTTCACGGTCTGTGGTCAGCCAATCATGCATCACGTCAATCAAGTGCATCTTCAACCAGAAACGGTACATAACTAAAACAAGTGCAGGAGATCTGTGTTGGGTATAAATGTATATCATGTGTAATAGAATATCCAGCATCAGTTGGTGTACCACACAGGAGTGTAAAAATGTATGCATCCCCATGGATTGACCTGTGCAGTGTGCACAGATATGCCTGCATGAGTGAAAATGTCAAGTCTTTTTTCCCCCTCATATGCATTTCAAAACAAATACAAACGGTGCAACTGAATTCAATACAATTACACACTATGATCCTTCAGAGAAAGTCGTACATGAGCACAGACAATGTGTTGAATAAATCAAAGCTTGAATGCTTATCATCGTAGGCTATTATTATTTTCCCCAATGCCCTCTATTTCCAAGTTACAACATTATTCAGCACTATGTGCTGGATCCTAAATAAATAACAAATAAAACATTCATGATATTCTCTTTGTGTTTTTATGTGCATGCAATTACATCCATTATGTGTAAACAGCTCTACACCCATGAACAGGAATGCACCTGACGCAGCATCCATTCACCTTATCATCCAGCTGTTTGTAAAGCTTGCGGATTTCCTCCTCATACTTCTGCCGCTCCTCCTCAGAGATGTGTACGACAATGGAGGAGGCAATGGAGCAAGGGCTGCAGGGACTGCAGATGTCGAGGAGCAGCACCTCAGATTGAGGAGGCACCAGGGAGACGTCTTCCGATCCTGGGCTCACAGGTTCTAACACAGCGGCATCCTCACCTGAAGACATAGTGACAAGATGCTGGATTTCCTTTGTACATGCAAAGTTCTTATCTTTCAATATGGATTTGTGCATAAAATAAGGGATGGGTGGACATTTCTTCAACATTGGTCATTATTAAATGTCTCAGGTATAAGATATTTCTGTGCCATACATTCGCTTCCTTTTGAACAGCAGCACAACATACATGAGCTTATCAATTTTAAATGTTAGTGGTCTCGTGTGGCTTTGGCTCAAAAGCAAAGGAAGGGATCCGGCGAATGCAGAAAAGTGATGAAATTCAATTTTCTGACCAAAAGGTTCCACAGTGTTGGTCTCAGGAAGTTTGAGGCCTGAGGTGGGCAACAATATGTGGAGCTTAGATGGGGTAATGAGGACAACGATGCTGTCAAAATGATACATTAGGAAATTAAAAGCCCTAAATTGTGAAAGAGACACTCGGGAAGATAGTGGAGGGAGAGGTTGTGTGTGAGAGAGAGGGAGGAAAAGAGTAACTGAGAGGGATTAGGCAGTTGAATAAATCATTTCACTGATAGCCTGTTCATTGAATGTCAGCCAATCACTACCGCTGGGTGCACTGACATTTGAATGAACACCCGTGCTTGTAATTACGGGTAAATGAGTTTGTGCTCAGGGCTTCTAGCGTTAAGGGATACGTGTAGAAGTTATTAGTCTTTGTTGCCTCAGGACTACTAATAGGTAAATATTCCTAAAAAAATAAAGCCTCCCGCACTTTGGCCCAATGAGAGAGGGAATCCATTTATACAAAGTGTATAATATTAGCCATTAGAGGTGGCCAGGGAAAGATTTTAAAGCGTTTGGGCACCAGGCCAGCAAGTCTGTTTGGCCGCTGTGCCCCATATCTCCATCGGCGTGTGTACAGATGATATCAAAGAGGTTAAATCTGCACTTAGGTGGACCCAAAAATAATGTCTGTAGGCGAGTTGGCTGGTCGGGTTCCATAAATGGCAAGGTAACACAAACTATGTGTTGAGATGTGCAGTCTGTCACCATACATTAAAGTATGTACTTAGTGCACCTGGTTGATGATCATTTTCATAAAACTCTATCTAATTGCTTTCCTTTTGCCTGAGAGACTCTAACAGCTTCGCTTTGAACTAGATGATAGCATCATCCTGCTTACATGTTCACAGTGACCATGAACATACTGATAATTAGCATATATTTTTACCATGCTCACCATTTGGTTGAACTACTGCTGAGGGTAACCACGCAATGTCATTAGGTGTACACATATTCATGCACTTAAGGCACATTATGTTTTGGCAAACGTTAGGATATTAGTGAGAGTCTTACCATTCAGCTCAGCCTCCAGTCTTTGAACAGTCTCCTTCAACGACCTGTTCTTCTCTTTCTCCTTTTCGTATTTCTTCTTCCACTGCTCCGCTGTGAGCTCCAGGTTCACTGTGACGGTGTTTCTGATGGTCTTGGCTCTAATTGCAGCGGTACCGAGCGATACAGAGAACAGGGGAAGAAAAGAAAATGTTCATGAGGACAGAGGAACTGTCAAACGAGGGTAATTCGGCCCCGGCTGCTCAATGAGAAACGGCTTGCACTAATTAATCGGTATGCAAATTAGGCTTCTGACATCTATGTTTAATGGTGCATGTAGGTAGAGGAAGGTAAGGCATGAATTCCAAATGTAAAAACCTTCCCGACCGCTTAACACATATCCACCACATCAACACATAGCACTCTTTAAGTTGGTGAGACGATACACGAACTGTATGTGACTATAAATCAATGCTTAATTATGATGCAAATAAGTGGCGTCACGGAGTTGAAATATTCATGATGCCACAGCACACAGTACCAGCTCACAGATCACTTAATTTAACACCCCAGTTAGAAAATGCCGTTGTCCTTGTTAATTTATTCCTCGATAATAAAGCAACAAACTGATAAAAATGTCTCATCACATCAGACTTTTGTTACTCAGAGCAATGGTGCTACTGGAACATCAGGAGACAATACAGTTAATGTTAAACAAAGCAGTAATGGCTCATTTGTGCGATTATGTCTAATTGCACAGTTTGTCCATAGACTTTAACATTCCACACAAACTTGTACATTTGTGGACCTTTCATGTATCTCTTGACACAGACTGAAATATCTGAAGTATATTGATTTTAACAATAAGCTCATTCATGGTGTTAAATAGCTACTGCGGCCTACAGAGACCACGCCTTCTCTTTAAAAGAATTAAAATCCAATATTTGATGTGGATTGCGTTACTGCTTTTGCTCGCAGGCATGCATTATTATATTATTGTATTATGCATTACGAGGAATGTATTATTTATTTCAACCAACAACACTGTTGTGTCAGCCACTATTCCTAGAATTTATTGGTAGAGGAAAAAAGGCTGGAGATGGATAAGGAGGATTTCACCCGATCTCCCCTCCTACAAGTGCAGCTTACCCGCAGGATTACAAAAAGCTATGTGTATTCCCACACCGATCAGGAACCAAAAAGGAACCCTTCCTCCAAAGAGGCGAAGATGGAGGCACTGTGTGAACAGCGTTTCTGAGTTCTCCAAATCTCAGCGGAGAAACATCCCCGGCGGCTGCAGCTGAGCAAGACGGACACGCACACGGTGAAGCCGCCCATGACCACTTAGCATGAAAGCATATTACCGTTGGCCAAACATCAAGGTGGATTTGGTCTCTGCATCGTTGTAGCTCGAGGGAGAGCAACAGATGAACATGGTGGTGCGACAGTTCCCGCCCAGCGAGTCCTGTAGGATGCGAGTCATTTTGCTGTCACGGTACGGGACGTGAGATTTCTACAAAGACATAAAGGCAGGACATAAAAAAAGATTTATCGAAAGAGCTTGGGGGACATTCTAAAAAGTTGTATATCAACAGGCAGATGCCTTTCTTCTTGGGAGATAAATTGATGTCTTTTGAGCAGCAGCACGGAACAAAGACGGAAGAGTTTTTTCCTCATCCGCAGCATCATTCGCAGTCTCACCTTTCTTTACCACTGGAATGCCATCAAAAAGAGCGTGTTCTTTCTTGATGAATGAAGAATGAATGCCGGTTGCTTTGTAAAAGATTTGTGAGACATTTGCTCTCCGTGAGCTCTTATGGAGGTTTTTTAAGCCTTCCGAGTTGTATAATAGAAGAAGTTGTATAATAGAGGATGTTTTAATTACGATGATGGAGCTTGGAAAGAAGAGTGGGCAGATCGCATCGAGTGGTTCAATTATCTGGTTCCATTTGGGGAAATATGGAAAAAGATTACCAACTGTAGCAGCATTATGGTTTATGGACAAGGGGACAAACTACCTAACATCACTGCAACTTTCATCGATTCCAACCGCAAGACGAGAATAACAACGTGAGGAGCTTCTCCTTGTTCAGAAACAACCCCGTCTTTACTTCTAGTGCCAAAGATGTTTGTATCTGTTCTTAGTAAATAGGTCCGAGTGGTGCTAATATTAAGAAAATATCTTTTTTTTTCTAAAAACAAAGGAAAAACAAGAGGTCAACATAGAGAGAGATTAGGCAGTTTCTATCTTCTCATCCAGCTCTTGGCAAATATGCATTTTCCCCAAAAATTGCAAACTATTTCTTTAAAGTACGGCTGTGGGAGTATATGAGATGGATAACAAAGACCGCAGAGAATTGCTCTTCCGTACCGTTCCTTCAGCCAAGGCTGAGATGACGTTCCCCAGGGCAGACAGAGATTTGTTGATGTTCTTGGCCTCATCCAGCACAGCTCCCTCTGCACCCGTCTTACTGACCTGACGCACACACACACACACACACAAGGAACTTGTTCATAGTACATTATTGCATCGTAAATCTACATTATTATTAACCGTAGGTTTTTTTTAACAGACAAACAAATGTGTAAACGATAACGATGTAGCATTTTAGACAGTGTGTTCCGTTGGTAAACGTCCAATTAATCAATAATAATGAATTAGCATGTTAACCAAGAGAGTCTTTCATTAGTGCAAAGCAGGTCAGTTTAGCGTGCGAACATTTATTCTCGGGGGAAACAAATTGAAGGAATGAAAAAAATATATATAACTTGCTAAAAAAAAAAAAAAGATCAGGAGGTGTTTGAGGAGGTAAATGTCAATCAAAATTTAACAAGGAAGTCATACCAGATTGGGTCAGATTCGTCCCGGGAGAAAGATAACGAGTTGCTTAATTAGAGAACAGGGCGAGTTGTCTTATCAGAGCCTTCGGTGGCGCATTCACCGGCATCCAGTTCGGTCAATAATATTTTTTCTGAATCTAAGGAGTTTTCAACCCCCAGGGATCACGAAGCAACTGAATCTATACTGAGGTTATGGCCACCAAGTACTCTGAACGCACACTATTCTTTGCATCAATACAATCGACACGATACTACATACAAGACCCAAGGATCACGTTCAACCAATTGGATTCCTCAAAGTTTACCAGAGCCCTTATAATTAAAAAAATATGAATTAATAAATAAAAATCCCTTAAAAATTCAGTGCGCTGCTATGAAGTGAGTGATGGATTAAGCTCACAGCTTCCCTGCATTGATTATCGGATTCTTTGATGTCTGCACACAGACAGAGAAATAAGTCCGGTCCCAGCGTAACAAAATACTGCTGACAGTGAAGGTCGAGAGTTTATAGCAGTGCAAAGCTCTATTGTACTTTTCATGTTTTTAAAGAAAATTCCCCAGTTGCCTTACCTTCTCACTCCCAGCTAGGTCGACCAGGTACAATTTGCCACAGAGCTTCAGCTCCGTCTCCACGTTCTCTTGTTTGATGTTTATCAGGAAGATGCTGTGACTGCGGGAACTGTGCTCATTCATGTCTGGATAATAAAGCGAGGGGACGAGAAAATGTCATTCAATTCAGTATTTCCCCCTTAGACGGACGTGTAAGGAGCTGTTCCCTTAGCACTTCATTATACATTTCTCACCTTTGCACCTGGAAATTGCCAAAAAAGATATATCCGACATGAAACAGGGGGATTGAGTGTGAAACGTGGCAAAAGATTCAAAGTGTGACTCACTGGTGACAGCAACATGTCGGTTGGCCTTGCCTTCATCGATCACATCCATCACTTCCTCGGGACTCGTGACGAAGCGCTCTGTGCAGCCCTTAGCGAAAGAAAGACGGAGCAAACGTTCCTTTGTTGCTGTGAAGAACAAAACTAAGCATCTAAACGTACCACACTTTTATCCCGCCCCGAAACCTCTTTGAAATTGCACGTTTAAACGTCCACGTTTATGTCTGCACAAAAAAAGTAAAAAATGAAAACTACAGCTCACCCTTTTGCAGGAGGTTTTATCTTAAACTATTTCAGCCAAGTATGAAAGATATTCACACACTACGTAGATGTGAAAATTGTCCTTGCTCGGTTCTTGTTTTTTTGCGTCTGTGCCCTCTTGCTTGAATGCACTTATCGTATGTCGCTTCGCATAAAGCGTCAGCTAAATGAAAAATGTAAATGTAAATGTGGACGGCGAGCTACTACAAAACGATTTGTTCCCCCGAGCTGGACACACTCAAATTGGTCTCTTATGTGCATTTGGCGCAGGGATTCAATAACTTTACCTTCATGTAGCAAACAAAATGACCTCCCACATTATTCTTATCCTGTCAGTTATACAACAAAATCTATTTTGAAAAAATGTCCTAATGTTAAATCATTTGCGCACTCATAATTATTTGGTATGTGAGGCGGAGAAATCAAACTGAATCATGTCAAACTTCTGATGACTCACCTTCACATAAGGAACTCTGTATTTGTCTTCGTGCACTGACAGGTTGGTTTTTGTCACTAGGGTGTAAAGGAAAGAGGTCATCGTATTACCCAAAGCATTGTGTGTGCAAATGAGCATACAAATATGTGTTATTACTCTCAGCACAACTATAATCTAACCTGACCTGATGCTCCACCTCTTTCAGTGTGGGGTGAGAAAAATGGGCGCCTAGCTATTCGTATTCTATGGAACGGAACTATTTCAGATCACCGAGAGATCTGAAACGATGCCTGTGATGGAAACATCGGACTTCTGCATTTGCCCTTTCACATTGCAAAGTCCTGTCTCTTATATTATAATTACATTTCACAGTATTGCGGAGGCCCGTTTATTTTTTGGGGAGACTACACACTTGTGAGTGTCTGTGTTTGTCCGTTTTATCCCCCTACAGCCACCTTTTCTCTTCGCAAATGCCTCCGCAGGGTGTTGTCTCTCTGCCGGGATTCATCGTGCGTGTCGTTGACTCTTTTTTTGTGTTCATGGCTGTAACTCCCCCGCATACAAATGAAGACTTCCCCTACTGCCTCGGGCTCGATGGGAGAGATGGAATCACCGGGATGCTGCCTACAGCTTCTTGTCCGGGGCCTCTCCATCATTTTAAACTGGTTATGTATCTGGGTGATAAGACTATGAACCACAATGGTGTGTTTTTTTTGTGTGAATTAAGCACAAAACTACAAAGCTTTAGCCGAAAAAAAGGATATTAAGTGTAAATGTTGTGCTTTCCAAAATGAAAACCTCAAGATGAAAACTGTTCTGTTGTTGCACTTTATCTACCTGCTGACTACAAAGAGCTCTTAGCTGTACTCATGTTTGATTGATGTTCAATTCAAACAACCCCCAAAACACGATCATGTTTCATTACTTTTATCAGCCCTGCAATCTTCATCCAAAGCTGCATACATGGCCAACACCCGCCATTAATAAGGTATAACTGTAAATAGCCTCAGGGTTGAGAGATGCAAAATATGTCTATCCCTTGATACTGCGTGGTAACAAAAAATTCATTTGGATTTGGGCAGAAAATAGGATTTTGACACTCTTCATAAGAACATAACCATTTATCCATATTCATCCAGGTTTGAAGAGTTTTAAATGTCATCCATGTACTGGAAGGAAACTTTACAGTATTAACAAATGTGAATTGTGTTTTCAAACCCATGTGTTCAGAGCAACAACACACCATCGAGCAGGTCCCGGATTTTATCCATGTAGATCTCAAAGTAGGAGACCTGCAGCAAAAACAAAAAACATGAAGTGGTCAAAAACATGTGGAGGGTAATCTCTAATCTGAACAGGACGGATAGAAGAAAGTCATTACGATAAAGATGATTATTGTGCAAATATGTGAAATATTGTTGGCGTAATCTGTCACCCTGAGGGTTCAGGAAAGGTATTAACAACTGTTAGAAGACTGTTGTGTAAAAAGCAAAAAGCCCAACAACAGCAGAAGGATTATCACATATACATCATGATTTATTGATGCTTGGCCCTCGTGCACTCAGCTCATCCATGTGACAATTACGTAAGAGGCCCGAGCTGAATTACCCACTGAACGTGTCCAGTGGGAACCGCACAAATTCATTCATTAATAAACCCACATGGAAATACACACCAACCTTTATGTGAAATTCTAGGTTCTCATCCATGGCAAATATATGTTCAAAAATGTCCTCTGCAATCCGGGGAATGATTCCCATTCCCTGAGGATCATGAAGGTTCCCCTAAGAGGAGACAGAGAGGAGATGAGGACGTGTGAGGGATGAATTAAGCAGATAGGATAGTAAAATAAAGGAGAGAAGAGAGACGATTGAATTGAAAGGGAACAGGGTTGTTTCCCGGTGAGAGTTGTAAAGGAGGTTATTGGCCACAAAAGGCTGGGAGCGAGAGATAGCGAGCGATGACAGTGATGCAGGGGGATTTACTGTGCGAGGAGATGGGATGAGGATGTACTGTGTGTGTCTCGTGTGATGCACCACAGCGAGTGGTCTGCATTATGAATTATTTAATGAAACCGTACCTCCATGGTGTGCGTTTTTCCAGAAGAAGTCTGCCCATAGGCAAATATTGTCCCATTGTATCCACCCAGTACATCTATAAAAATAAAAGCATTTTAAAGAAATAGTATGAGAAGGACACAAGGCAGAAAAAGAGCAAAACATAATGAACATGGGGCAGAATACCAACCAGATGTGTATCAGTACAGAACAGAAAAGCCACTACACAAAGACCTTTTGTTTGACCTTTTGTTTTGATGGTTATTGAGACTGTGCCACACAAAGTGTGTGTGTGTGTGTGTGTGTGTGTGTGTGCACTAAGAACTGTGTGGTATTTAAGCATGGTTAGTTGCTAAATTACCCACTAAATTGCTAAAAGCTGCTGTTGTCACCAGGAGTCACCAGAAGGCACTCAGTGAAGTCCACATACATTATTCTCTCTCTCCACTCAAACCACACATCCAGCTGAGGTTGTGAAGGAGCACGCTGATGTATATCGTACTGCTGACCGAGTCTAATAAAACCCCTAAGGTGAAAGTTAAACATAGATTAAAGGAAAACACTTCACCCTGACACAAGTCAGCTGACCGTAGACTAATCATCACAAAGGCTCTCAGATAACACACAGAGGAATCCTCCTACCCTTCTCCTCCCTCTATCCTCCCCCCCATCCTCCCCTCTCCACCACCACAGCTCTCAGCTCAGCAATATACCTTCCACTGCCCGACCGCAGTGAGAACCAAACAGAGCGTGACGCATTACAGAACCGGGAATTAAGGATCAGTGTGGGAATAAAGACAGCCAGAATAAAGTCAAAGAAATCCCGAAAAAAGGTTTGAATGAGACGGCGTGAGTGTTGGAGAAAGAGAAAAGAAGAAGAAGAAAAGCGAGGGCGGAAAAACCTGACTGCCAGGAAAAAGGAGAGAAAGTGTTAACGTGGATGTGTCTACAAACCAGCTTTCTATGGCCTTGCTCCCGTTGCCCTTTTCCACTGACACATTTCAAATCCCATTCCTTCATTTTTCTACACCCCCAATTTGCTAGATCCCTCGGACTTTTCCACAGCTACAATTCTTTCCTTTTGGTCTTTCTTTGCCCTATTTGTTGATCTCACGTTCAGTGAGTAGTCTCAAATCAATCTTTTTTTCATGCTCCTTCTAGAGTTGTTGAATGGAATACCACACTCAAAAACGAGACCTTGACAGGGGTGGAGAAGGTCGACGGGAGGAGGGATGAAGGAAATAGCATTCGATCTCTGGACTCGCTGTGCTTTGATAAGCACGCATCTTTGTCAATCTTTGCATGTCCATGCTAATCACTGTAAATCGTGTGACCACGTCAGGTCACGGAAATTGATTTTCGCACTTTTCTACAAGAAGCTGTTGATGCATGCAGTCAGGAGAATAGAGCGTAAACTGACAAAGCTAGTAAGGGGAACCGAAGGATATGTTGATTCGGCGTGTATGGGCTTTCTCATTCACCTTTCAAGAAAAAGGAAACCCTGTTTACGCAACTTACCTTTGACAATCTGCTTGGCGCAGGTGTTGTAGACCTGTATCTGGCTGGTGTTGGTGGGGAACACTTGGTCAAACACATAGGACTTCCCCTGTGAATAGCAACGCAAACACAGTTTAGAGACGCTGTGACTACCTGTTGTATCCACCTTGGGAAGAGTGAGAAGCAGAGACCACACGGGAGCGATGGACACTTAACACGTTGTGCTTATCACTAACGCATTATAATGACATATTGCCACAATAGAAATACACCACATCAATATTCATTTAATGGACGCTGTTTCCATCTATGTGTCTTTGCCCTGAATAGCAGCACTTATCACAATAAGTGGCCCATCTCTTTTGATTTGAGCGATGTGTATCCTGTATTTTTGTCTGGTTTTATCTGTGTGTATTTTGTCCTATAGTGAGAGACATTGGGTGTGTTTGAATGAGCGCAATGCACCGTGAAGCTTTGGGCAAAAGACTGCGCAACCTCAAGAGAGACAGAGAAAAAGATCACATCTGAGGTGAAGCCATTAAAGGGCAGTGTGCAAGGACTTGAAGAGTAAAGTGATGCAACGGAGGGGAGCAATAGAGTGGAGGAGTATAGGAGAGGAGTGCAGATGCAGAGAGTGCCATAATAAAGTAGATGACCTGAAACAAGAGATTGCATGTGAGAAAGAAAATGCAAGAGAATAACACACAAAGAACGGGGGGAAAAAAAGGTTGTTGTTTATTTTTTGAAACTTTGGGTCAGTTACGAGGCAGTCTGACAGCAATTAATCAGCCATTAAACAAGTCAAACAGCCAACCAGAGATGTACTCATTGAAACCACACAGAGATGACACTCTGTCATCATTGTTGACTAACCAGCATCCATCTTTCAGTGAACCACTCCGAACAACATACGAAGGCACAGATCAGCCAAGAACTGGTGATAGTTAGAAGTCAAACATGCATGGCTGCTAGTAAGCACTGTGTGTATGTGTGTGCGTGGGTGGATAGAGGGATGCATATGTGTGTGTAAACTTCACAGACTCTGCTTGTGCAATTGTGCAGACAGCCTCCACCGCCCACAGACCGTGCAGACATCAACCGTAGAGGAGGCTATCTATAACCTTCACATTTATTCCCCCTGCTCTTTGTGAGGACTTAGTTGCAAAGCTAACGCGGGACAATAGTATATATTGATTTATAAGTTTGTAAGCTGACTTTTCTGAACTTATTCATGTGAGTCAGTGAACTGAATTTCACAAACTTTTTTTAATAAGAAATTTGTAATCATCCAATAGCCTGACAGTTAGGGGAGACAAAAGGTTTTCAAGCCAAACCACGCAAACACTCTTTTTATTACTTTAGGTGTCAAGATGTGCATTGTATCAAACTGCATGATTTCACTTTAAGACTTTTGTAAGTTATAAGACAAAACGAAGACTTGGAGCTCATTTTTGAGCTCAAAGTCTGTGTCTCCGTCTGTGTTGACCCATTATGACTCAGCCTTTTCTCGCTTGCAGAAACGTTGCTGACTTCTCAAATAATATTTCATCTCGTCATGTTAGACCGAGTCCTAAAATCCATAGAAGTACTGCACCTTCCTGCCTGCATGCATATTTAATATTTAAAAGTAATAGTAGAAATGATAATCTACTACAAAGAAAATTAAAATGTTCTGTCCTTTACTTAAAAGCCACACAACTCAGGAGGAGGATTTAAACTTGTTATGTTTGCACCAGCGGTCTGGGATATAATACATCCATAATCCCCTCACCTCCAGGTATTACACATGGCTCCGCTGCTTCTCAGTCTTTTTAATGACAGGTTCAACAACAAGCTTGACAAAAGAAACGTTCGACTGTATTGGTGGATGGAATAGTAATCTGTTTCTTTTAAAGGTAGGAATTAAAGGATTTATTATTTTGTAATGTTAAAGTTTACGTTTCCTTTTTTAGTCCACAAACAGATATGTTTGTCAAACTCAATTAGATCACTTTGTAGTCCTTTCCGCCAATTTGTGCACAGCACTTACGCATTGTAGGAGGCAATAATGTTTCACAGCTAACGCTTTATTATTTATACTAGTGCAGTGCTTGTTGCCTTCTCAAGAACAGCTCTCACCAACAACTTCACATTCAGTTCCTGCGCTCTTGGTGGGCCCTCTTATTGGACGACTTCAAAATAGTTTCACACACGTTTCACACACGTGGTTCAACCTCGTCAAGAAACAAACCCAGTGAGTTTATTATTGACTAACGATTAGTAATAAACTTAGCAACTTTAATGGAAGTATTCATAGAAGTACAAGCAACAATACAGAACTAATTATCTACAACTTCTTCTTAAAGTACTAAGTGATAGTCTTCACTATGCAGAATGATCCTTTTGAATGTACATTAAATAAATTGATTTTTATGTTCATTGATTTAGTATTGAAGCTGTTAAATCTGGAGATAATTTCAACTACTTTATCTACTCCTAGTATTTTAATACATAATAACGTATCAGTTATCAGAATCCCCAAAGTGACAAAATCAAATTAAATCTGGCAAAATACTAAACAATATAGCCCTCCGAGATCTAGGGGAGTAGAAGAAGAAAAAAGTAGAAAATGAAAAATGAAAAAATTAATTGTGGTTATCCAGCAGTTGAGCTCTCCGTAAGTGAGCAATCCAAGCAGAAATCAGCATTCACTGGTGCTAATGATCCGTAACCCATGTGGAGAAGGCAATCACTTAGAGTTAGTACCTCGGGATAGGCCTCTGATTCCTGCTGTTAGAACCTGTAATCTGAGTCTGAAATGTGAAAACCATATGAGATGACAGTTTCATGCAGTTTGTGGCTATAGTTCATAGAAAATTAATGTTCTACTTAGTTTTAAAAAGTCGGCATCCATCAGCAGTTCTGGTGAGCTGATCATGTGAAACCGCTGTTGGAGCTGCATCCCATCATGAGAGATACATTCTCCCCTATAGACTCTGCATCCCGAGGATCTGCTATAAATGATGAGCTATTCCTTTGACCTAAAGGCAGCACAGCAGAAAGGACTCATGTCTCCTTTGGGAGGTTTTGAATTATGTTTTTTCATTTAGTTTAGTTCAAGAGTTGGAAGGAGCTGGTGTTGTGACCGTCAACAAATATTGTTCCTCGGTTTTTCCTCATCTGTAGAAACTGCATCACATCTGTGGAGCCGGGATGAAAGGAAGACCATTGCCGAAAGGGACGGACGAACAAACGTGAAGAAAGAGGAGGAGGCTACAACTGAAAGAGGGCTCTGGAGCCAAAGACACTGAACAAAACACCAAACAGGATTTGTTGGTATCAACAGGTGCATAGTTTGTATTTATCATGTTGTGTAAATTCATGATTTAAATGAGGTGTAGCAGAGAATGAATATTGTTACTAACAAATGTGTTAGAACTAAATATGTATTTATTTTTTTATTTGAATTTGAGGCCAATGACCAGCAGCTGTGGAAACTGAAGCTGTAGATGTGGATCTGTATTTGCTGGCCACCGCAAAGCACATAATCCACCGGCAAGTGTAACACACACACACACACACTACTGCACCCACATACGTACAATATGGCCAGTAATCGCTAAGTCTTGCTTGTATCTCATTGGTTGCCATCAAACAAATTCCCAAGGAATACATTCCCCGCAGACACGTGGTCAGTGAGTAACACCTGCTGGTGTGATAATCTGTTGTTTTCACCACTGCACTCTCTTTCTGAATGTGTTACGGGCTCTCTCATCCTTGTCTCTGTAGCGGTGTTTCAGGGCGACGATGGGAAGCAGCTTTCCGTGGAGGTCGCCGTCATGTTGAAACTGGTGACCGAATCAGGGGCGACATCATCACCTTCGAATGGCTTCCCAGCGGTGCCGAATTTAATGCCATCCGGGACCTAACGGATCCGTCGCCCTCAGCTTACTTTGCCTTCTGTTTCTTCAGATTGGAGGCATTTGTTCGAGCGTAGCACCCAATCAGCACCGTACCCTCAAACCGCTCGGGCTTCACCAATGGCTCAGATAAACACACCCACACATACAAACAAACATGTACACACCTGCATACAGAAACGCCTACGCAGACACACAGGGACTCAAACACATATTTTCAACACCTTTAAATGAAAAAATATTTAAATGAACCCAGTGCCGAATGAATAGTTTTGGCATTTGGCAGCTTGTGTGCTCGCCCAGGCCATCAGAGAATGAATACATGAATGGGTGAATGACAGCTTGAGCTGAACATCAGACAGCATCATTGCAATGTGAGACATTGAGTGGGAACACTTCGCAGTGACCTCCCTCTCTGCGCTGCTGGCTTTGCATAAAAATAGTTTTTTTTATGACAGCAGAGGCAGTTTGGCAGAATCCAATCTTCAATTCATAATAATATTTTTTCCCCTCCAATGTTTTAATAAAAACTGATTAGTTCTTCCCTCCAAATGCTGTAATCACAGCTGGTACAAACAAGCTTCCCATCAGAACTGATTAAGGCTGCGTCTAGCAATGAGTCATTTGTAATGCAACACAGTATGTGCATACAGACCACATCAGACAACAGGCCGGCGGGGGGGCCGGGGGTAAGAAATCATCATGATGTGGTCTTCACTGGAGTGAATGAAATGAGTCAGTTATATAAGCTTGATGAAAAACAGTCGGTTGGCTCCACCGTTAAAACCCTAATCTGATCCTGTGCTACAAAAAAAAATAATAGCTTGAATGTTGAATGAAGATATTCTGAGCCCTCTATCTGCGCATCAATCTCTCAGCCCTCTGTAAGTATGGTTGTTTCAATACGTGATTGAACGCGCATGCAAGCACAAGTGTGTGTGAGTGTGCGTGGCGGGTTTGTGAACACGTAAAGATAATATATTGAATTACGCTTATACATGCAGACGTTGTACATGGCCGCCGCAGCTTTGTGCGACGTCAAACACCCACATGCGCTGCAGCCTGCAATTTTCTGCTGCATGCCGAGAATCAAAAGAGGCGGTGGGTTGCAGGCAAAGAGAGAGAGAGAGAGAGAGAGAGAGAGACCAAGGCGGGAGGATGGTGTTAAAAACACCAGCATCTGTGAGGCTTCATTGGCTGTGAAAAAAAA